GGATACGCACACCGGGGCCTACCTACAAACGCTAGAGGGCTATAGCGACTAGGTTAGATCAGTAGTGTTCTCCCCCGATAACAGCCGGGTCGCGTCTAGGTCTTATAATAAGACGATTAAGATCTAGGATACGCACACCGGGGCCTACCTACAAACGCTAGATAGCCATAATAACTAGGTCACATCAGTGGCGTTCTCCCCCGACAGCAGCCGCGTCGCGTCCGGGTCTTTCGACGAGACGATCAAGATCTAGGATACGCACACCGGGGCCTACCTACAAACCCTTAACGTCGGCTCCGTTAGGGACATTCTTTCCTTTAACACTATTAACTCCTCTCTTTATACTAACGTTAGAATGGTTGCCCTTCGCGGCTTAGCAACACCTAACCCTACGACTCCGACTAAAGTGTCCGCGTCAGAGCGCCAATCGCCTAGTGTAAGTCAACTACCGCAACCCCCCGAATATCACGGTTACGGTATTAGTCCTAATAGATTCTAGATCACGCGGAGTTCAAATAACTAGCTCTAGCTACCTCCCGCCTATCGCCTAAGCTACTCGGCTGTAGGACAGTCTAGACTAGCCGTAGTACTTAGCTACCGGTATAGACGTATTTTAGTCTTCGCATTCGCGCCTAGGGGCGCCGACCGAGCGATTCACAGCTATAGTCAATAGCCAGCCAAGACCGGAAGTAACCGATAATCGCACGTAGGTCTTATCTTACCACGCACAGTGGTTTCTCCTAGACGGCTACGGTTGTTACCTGATCGACGGCCCGAGCCTAGCGAGGTAATCTTCCGTAATAATTATATACTTACTATAGGTCTACTTTTATAATTAGCCTCAGTAGTATTTTTCATACACCAATTTATATAATTGTTATTTCCCCGTGTATTCAACTTCATGAATTTATAATCTTAATACCTCTCCGCTGCTAAGAGTTTCGCTTAACTCAACACTATCGTAACTTACATCATTTTAATAGCCTAAAAAGACGATAGCCGCGATCGCAGTATTACACTTACGCAGAATTATTCTTCACACTTATCTCTGATTTCATGGTAGGTGGTCTTAGCGTCCTAGTCGTCAACGGCAGATTTCTAGGTAATTTATTAGGTCTTGTACTTTAGCATTAGGATATAGTATTTACTTTCTTTTGCAAAAGTAATGATACCAAGAATCATCTAATTGAGGTATTCTCTATCCACAAATAATAATTAACTCGTTATTAGTGGATAAATATGCTAGAATTGTCATGTACCTCGCGGGTGTTTCACCACGTAGGGCATTTCATGTCACCGGGATAGGGGTTATATATTGAACTCAAACATCATCAGGTGTCAATACGCCAATATACTTCTGCAGAGGGCAAAGGCAATGTCCTTTTCGACCACCTTACCTCCACCAGACGCCCCATCCTTGCCACAGACAAACAATATTACAAGGCTTCCACGGGGGGAAACTCACCCTGCAAAATGGAGAGTGCAGTGTTCCAATCCACAAGCGGAGAAGATAATTGCGGAAGTTTATGCAGAATTCATCAAGCTGCATAGTATAGATTACAATATGCGAATTGAGCTACAGATGAGGAAGGATGTCCAAGCGCGCCTCGAAACCCAGCTACAATACCAGAGTTGTTGCCTTCAAGAAGCAGAGAAGCAGGCTTTTGATCTTAGAGAGCGGATCCGCATATTAGAGGTTGAGCTGGCATGCCAGAAGCAGGAACATCTTTAATAAATCAACGTGGAAATCATGCGACCTCCGCCTTTGCTGCAGTACTTATGGAGATGGAATGGCGCAAGTCTTGCTCAATTACGTGGTTGACGAAAACCACTCCACGATGGATATTAGTCACCTTTCTTGTTGTCCCTAGTCAACGGAACATAAGCCCCCTTACGCGTCATGCCAAGGCTGGATAGCGTGTCTGTATCCGTGTACAAAAGCACTTATTTAGAGGGGTTTCGCTTATCCGAAGTTCATTTTTGCCAGCAATAACCGTGCCCCGCGGAGTACTTTTTTGTGTCCAGTTGTTCGAGAGTCCCTTTGGTATGACTCTGGGAATATTAAGCTCACAGTTACAATGCGAAGTGGTATATGATTCGTTGGCTCAGGATTGAGCGTTTGGGAAAGAGCAGGGCCAATTCATTACCCCCCTTTTCATCTCTCGGGACCTTCTCTTTCAAGAAAGCCTCTGTAAGATTCGCACTATTCGTCATTACTAGACCGTGAACGGTAATAACACAGCAAGATGCGTCTAAGGTTTAATTTGGGCTGGGTGCTGGGCTCCATTGTAATCACTCTTAGAATTCTAACAATCATTTCGAGAATGGCACGTATATACTTCCTTCGTTGGCTCGGCTAGAACCTAATATCTTAAGTGGCCTCGCATAGGTTTGTCCAAATTTGATCGCACGGGCGACTAGGAACTTAAGCTAGAACAGTCCGCTGGCTCTGCTAGGTCTAGATGTAGATCAGCAAAGGTTCTACACTATTCGTGCGATCTAACTAGTGCTTAGTATAGAATTTAAATCTATTATGGGACCTCTCACCTGAATATGTTTCTTATAGCTTAGGCATATATTCACAGTCTGCCTCGCGCTTAATTAGCTAGGAGATAGAGGAATAGAGATTTAGAGGGACCGTTATAAGAGCCGTATTACCTTAACTAACTACTTCGTTCGCGTATGCCGAGGCCTCTTAAACAGCCGATCTATACCCACAGCTACCTAGTTTAATGACTATCGAGCACGAGTAACTCGGCTCAACAGATAGTTCAGGATAAATTTCTGCTTCCTCTAATAAGAATCTACCTTCTTAGGACTCTCGCCCTAGGGAGGCCCCTAACTTAAATTCATTCTCTATCGTCTAAGTCCCCGAAGACTATAGTTAGAATAGCTAGAGCGATGTAGAATTTATACCTATTACCACAAAGTATAACGTCACTAGTAGCGGGGTCTCAGAGCGGGAGGAGATACCTAGGAGGTGGTATACTATCCATACGAAGGATTAGCTTTTTATTCTATAAGTAGCTAAATTCTTGTTTATAGAGCTATGCTTATAAGGAGGTAAAGCTTCGATCCTAGCCCGAGAATAGTAAGTACTATTCCTTAATTTCTTTCTTAGATAGGTTCCGATATTACTCGAACTATCTAGGTAAATCCCTAGCCTCGTTAAGAGTCTAGATATGGTTTTAGCTAGAGGAGGTTATTAGTGCCTCTTATAGAACTATCTAATAAGGACTAAGCCTACCTTTTGTTTTCTTACTTTATTTAGCTCTTAGAGATCTATCTATATTCTTCGATATAATAGGCGTTTCAGAGCTAATTCGACTAGATTCGCCCGAAATATTTTCCCGAAGCCCGAACATTAAGTACTTTTGTTATAATATTAATAAAGAAACGTGAATTGTATAGATATTATAAGGTAAGATCTCTCCCGGACGCTATTTACGATCGAGTTATTTTCATGATATAGATTTCCATTACCACCTCGCAAGGATATAAATAAGGATTAATAAGCTACCGCGGAAGACTAGCTACGATAAAGTTATGATCCTCTTCTAATAATTGCAATAATACCTAGCCCTTATCCACTCGGATATGATGGTTACTATCGGTTTACCGTTTTAATTCATATATTCGGGATAGGACAATATTAGCCTAGCGGATAGTGTATCCGACCTAGTCGGCCTCCAATACATACGATTTACGTTTTCCGAATAGGGAGCTAAGGCCTTCCGCTTTAAGATCGCTAATAAGAAGAATTTAGAGAAGTCGCGTAAGGTTCACATCTACCTATAAATAATCCTATAAGACCGTAGTAGTTTAAGAGTAGAGAGCAGCCGTTTCTCTGGCAGGATGAAGAGACGAAGATGTAACTAGGTATATAAATCCTCGGCGCTTAAGCGAAGAGGTTCCCCATCCATACGCTAGGATTCTCGGCTCGGGTTAATGGACATTTTGATCAAGCTCTGCTGGGTATGAGGTTACAACGTTTTGCATAAGGGTGACCGGAAGAATGAATGTTTGAAGGGAGAAAATACAGCTCGAAAAACCTATAAGTACTAAGTCGTTAGATAAGGAGATAAGGATCGGTGGACGTTTGCGAGCGTTATTGCGTAGGGATAATTCAAATACCATGTATGCCAAAGGGTAGGGGTATCTCACTGTATTGTGATTAAAATTACTCCTATCTGGTTTACCCTTGACGCAGCCCCATCACCAACGGCGCTAAAAGGATCACCTCCAATTAGCTGGGTTGTGGAACCTTCACTCTTAGCCCCATTTCAAGAAGTTTCGGGGTAACCGGCCCTTACAAAATATTACATATTTTACAGACCCTCGCTTCGCGAGGGTCCGCCACCCATACGATACTGCCCACCCAAACGATATCGGATCTCTATACAATTCAACCACCTAGTTTCAATTCATTTTAAACAACCAAAGCAGTGTGATTTAGAAGATAATTAATATATCGAAATATATCCATCTGATTTGCTAATACTGAAAGCAATCCTACTTCTTGATAAAATAGCCCTTCTTCTTGCAAACCCTCTTCAACTCCGGCAAGACCTCCCGCTTGAAGTACGGTCGCAGCTTCATAATAGCCTTCAGGTCATCACCACTCTTTAGAATTCGCTTCATACGCTCAACCTAGCTAGAGTGGACTATCCCTGTTAATTTAGAAGCTTTTCGTGACTTCTCGCGAGCATAGCGGATCTCTCGAAGGTAATTCGAATTCTTGATGTTTCCCTGCAGCTCATCAACAAGATAGATCAATTCGGTCGTAGCCCTTGCCATCTTCTTTAGTAGGCGACGAGAGGGTGTCTGTTACATGCGAGAGATCTTATCCTCTAGGCGTTCCTCTAGCTTCTTCACACGCTCAGCGGTCTTTGGTGTACTAAGATCTGACGATAAATTATGGCTACCGCCGGTCGCGATTGATGATGGAGGGCTTGGTGTATTATAGCTGAATTCGACCTCATCAACCTGATCGACTAGATCCTCGAGGACTATATTAGGATTGATTGGCCATAGGCCTATTAACCGAAAGCCAAGCTTGATTGTAGAAGGTTTAAAGGTCTTCTGCCGAATCTGTGAGATCGCACCGAGGAAATCGTCTTTAGTAATCCTCTCATAACCACTGATAGTGGCATCGTATACCCACTCACTGTGCCAGTGCTTATATGCACTAAAAACACCAACGTCTAGTGGTTGAAGGATATGGCTCGAGTGAGGCGGTAGAAAGAATAGGATAATCTGATTATCCTCACAGTATTTAACGAATTCGTATGTAAGATGCGAGCCGAATTAGTCACATACTAATAGACGATGTGTGCCCTTAGCGGAATCCTTGGTAAGCTTATTGAATAGCTGTATCCACTGAAGGGCAAGGACGTTATTAAGATAGCCAGTTTCAGTAACAGCAATCCTCTCATCGCCTACTATCTCAAACCACCGCTGTAGAAGGATCTTAGCGCTTAGGATTACTACCGGTGCGATAGTAGAACCAGTGGCTAAGACCGCTTCAATAGCAGTTGCATACTCGCGATTGGTACTAAAACCGCCAGAGATTTGGCGCTTAGGTTCGCGGGTTATAATCCACTGGTCTTTAGCCACGCCAATATTAAAACCGGTCTCATCGAAGTTCCAGATATCGTCCGCGGTGATTCCGTGTTGGGTAATTGTCTCCTGGTAGGAATTGAACCACTCTCTTGCAACACGCCTATCTAGGCACTTCTTTCTCTCTATATCCATCGCTCGCTGGCGGCGGCAGAGATACTCAGGATGACGTTGGAGGAAGCGTCTTCGCCAGTGGTCACCAATTGTAGGTGGTTTAGTTGGACTAACGTGGCTACTAGCTAGGATTGCATTGGCCGCAGCCGAGATAACCGCTCGTTTAGGAGGAAAAGAGATCGAATCAAGGAAATCGATATAGCGGCAAAGGGCTGCTTCTTGCAATTCATCCAATTTGCGACCGTTAGGTGGCCGTTAAGAGAGCGATGGGCGACCCTTGTAACGTGCCAGAAGCCGCTGGTAGGGTAGGTTTTTAGCGCGCGCCCACGCTTTAATATTAGGCTTTTCGATACTCTCCAATTCAAGGATAGTCAATTGGATGCGAGATTCAATAGATGCATTAGATTCTTTTGATTTAGGCATGGTGGTGGCTAGAAATCGCGTGTTGAAAAGGGGTGTTTACTATGGGAAAACGCGATATCGTTTGGGTGGGCAGTATCGTATGGGTGGCGGACCCTCGCGAAGCGAGGGTCTGTAAAATATGTAATATTTTGTAAGGGCCGGTTAATACGGGGAATTTTCAGTTTGATTGTCACAATTGTAAACGATCGGAGACTAATCCAGTAACGTATTTCCTAGCCGATCCGGTCACCCAGCCGATCCGGTCACCCCAAAACACCATACTAAACGCAATATTTCATAACTTCATATTTCAACGGCTAAGGCTAATTATATGGTCTTAGGCTATCTCGGTGTTAAATATATCATACTAGGTGTTTTTACAAGCTTGAGAAATATTTTGGGTCGTGCCTATGTGGATATATATATCTATATTACTCGGTCGGAGCGTATTTTTGGTAATATAGGTAAATAATTATTTTCTAGATATTTCAGTTATACTATACTATTTCTCATGCTAAGAAACCATATTATACTAAAAATGAAGTTACAACTTCTTCTTGTTGTTGATATATTGTGACCTGAGAAATCGCATTTAGTATGGTGTTTTGGGGTGACCGGATCGGCTGGGTGACCGGATCGGCTAGGAAATACGTTAGTATGAACAGAGGTGGGTTTACTGAGACATAATTCCCCTTTCCTAGCTGGGCAAAAGGTTAGAACGAAGGTTTACCCACTACGGATAGGGCCGAGGTGTGAACCATAGATCGGGAACCATTTATGGATGTTGAGCTTTCAGCCAGGATCCCGCCTATGTCGTGTTTAATAGTCTCTTGATCGCACGGCCTCAGAATAGGTGGCCGGAGCCTCCGTGGTAATCCATCTATCGTGTACTCTATAGTTATAGCAGTATTAGTTAACACATTCCCCCCTAGCGACATACGTTTTCTTTCCTAAAGAGACGCACTAGAGGGCTAGGCCTAGATCGCCGATCGCCGTATCTAATAGCTAGCCGTAGCGAGAAAATACCCCCTTAGAGCGCTATCGCTAGTAATCTACATTTTAGCGTCCTATAGGCGAGCGCTAGTGAAAATTCGTGTATGTCTAGGGGGCAATCTTTTTTCGAAATACTCTATTCCGGATAAGGAAAGACGGATTCGGACGGTATATAATCTTACGAGGCCTACTCGCTAAAACCCGCGATTAGTTAGCGGTATATATTCTCCTACGTGTACCCGTAATATTAGTACAACCCTAGGTAGTAGAACGGTATAGTATTATTAATACGCGCGTCCTAGTAAAGCCCTAAATAACCCCACCGATGCAGTCCTTAGTGCGTATTATATAGGTTATTCGACTCAAAATTTACGTTCACTATATCGAGACTATATTCGTACTTAATACTCTTACTAAGGAGCTATACTTTCGATACGCGGTAACGCGGAAATTAGTGGTTTATAGGGCTTATACTAGTTTAAAGACGCAAAAATTAGCTTCGTTAGAACGAACGGCTCGGGCTTATCTAATAGCCGCGACTTAGGTAATTTCTCCGATGATTTAGAATTAATTTAAGGGGAATAATATAGGAATTAGAAGGCTAATTAGGTAAGTCTAACAATAGTGAGCACGTTATCCCATCTAGTAAGATCATCCTTTACCTCTACTTTAATTTACCCCTATTCCTATAGCTTTTAGCCAGACTTATTCGAGATAGTATATTCCGTAAAGAGGGGGGTATAATATAGATACGATTCGGCTAAGCGGGTTATTTACAATTAGTATTAGTTCTACCTACACTATTCGTTTATTAATAAACCTAATCTTAATATCTTAGTCTATTTAACCACCCTACCCCCTATATTCTTATTTCCTTATAAAGTATCTCCGTAATATTACGGCTTACTCCATAATTAATACTCTAAACACGGCCCTTATGATTATAATAAGATATTATTAGCTAATAGGTGCTATCGCTTTAGCGCCGTTAGTGATAAACGTTATAGCTCTTCTAGGAAAATCTCTAATCGACTTTTTAAGGCCCGAATTTAGTAACTGTCCTAAAGGTAGGGAGTGGATAATAGGAAAATCCGTCTCTAAATATAGCCCTATCGTAAAATTTTCTAGGAAGCTTTCGCAGCTGCTTAAAGTTCCTATCCGTAAATTAGGGCCCTCTCGAGGATAGGCTAATCTTTTAGAATATTAACGTATCTAGTTATGAGCTTAAGTATATATAGGTCTTAATTACTCCGTATAGGCGAAGCTTCTAATCGTATAATACTACTATATCTATTCATATTATATTCGAAACATACCGATAGGAGGAAAATCCGTATCGACTTTAAATTACTATATAGTACCCTCGCCGATTAATCGCGCTATCTCGAGCGTAGGGGACTTACACCTAACGCCACACTCTATAAGGTAGGAAACCTACCCAGTCAGACCTCCCGTTACTCCCGGGTGACTTACAGGATCTACCCTCCTAGCGCGAGCGCAAAGGATTTATAAATCCTCTAACGGTAAAGCATTCCACTTATCACATTCACTAACTATATACTAAACCCCGGTAGGAGCGCCATAGGGTACTATATAAAATTCGCCCGTGAAAGAACAGTACCCAGCCGAGAGTATTATAGTTATTCTCGAAATCGGCTTCACCAGTACACTCTTCGACTCTCTTTCTCAGCCCTACCGCTAAGGTCTTAGCGTACATAATTTAATAAGCCCACCGTATTAAGTTACGGTCCGGTAATCTCCCCGAGCTTGCCCGGTGATAATTAAACCCTAGGGCCGCCTCAGTTTAATACGTCCAGCCTAATAGATGTTCTACGCTAAAGGCTTGGCAGCGGGGCCGAGGAAGAGAGTCGAAGAGTGGACTGGTGAAGCCGATTTCGAGAACGACTGTATCCAGGCGTCTGAATCAGGGATTGTTGGCTTTATTGGCGATTCGAAAATGAAAGAGCACCACCCAATGACAAAAACTACCTTTTCTTCATTAAACTAATTAGATCGTGGCTCTGTATCCTTCCCCTTCCCCCCTCCAACCCAAAAAATATTCGCTTGTTGCCAGTCCCTACCTAGTGATCGCGCTAACCTAAGCACAGTTAGATATATATCCAAAGGGGTAATTTCAGACGAGCATTGCCGAGCTCCGGATCGCGAACAACCCGTGATCACGGAACGGGGCAGGATAGACGAGGGAGCAGGGATTCGTCTGCCCAAGAATTTACCGCGAGCCTACTTTGCCCTCGAAATGCTTTTCTAATTATTCAATATTACGCGGGTATGATTGAGGATGTCGCGCCAATGGAAAGCCCATTGGCCGTGTTTACAGTCATTCTCGAAACCGGCTTGACCAGTGCACACTGAGACTTTCTTTCTCAGCCCCACCGCCAAGGCCTTAGCGCAGATCATTTATTGAGCAGCCCGCGTTAAATTAAGTGACGCAGTAAAATGCGCCTTGTATAGTACGAGTTCTAGTACGTAACGTTACGTTATGCGTACTAAAAGTCCGTGTAACTCAATGGAAACCAGTAGAAGATCTGACTTGGCAGACACTATTTAATTTGTTGTTGCCGTTTGGCAATGGCGATCTTGTCCACCAAAGGTACTGTATTAAAGTCGAACGATAACCCCCATCCCGGTGACATGAAATGCCCTATGTGGTGAAACGCCCACCAGGTACCTGCTTATTCGAGCCCCGTCATTCCCAACTAACATCTTTAATATTACCTGGAAGCTGCTGGAACAACAATCATTAAATGCTTTTGTGATTGCTTCTATCAAACGCGGATTACAAAATGTTAGTGGGGCGAATTACAGACCGACACGCAATGATAGAAAATCCGTTGTTTACTACTATCACGCCAAGATCATCAACCAACACACCTGAGATGGGTAGAAACGAAAGGATTGCATCCTTTGGTTTATCTTTCCCTCACTCTGGTTTCTTACCTTACAGTAATCATATTTCCTTGAAGCATATCAATTTTGGTGAAAGTCTTGGCATCGGAGAGGTACAAGAACGAAAGTACTAATGAGGCCAATACGCAGGTAAAAAACGAACATGTAACGTGTTATATGAAAGATACTAGCGCCCGCTAACCGGCAGAGCCCCACCTAAATATGTCCGCAGGTGGGAGATAGCCTGCGACAAGGGAACGTCAGTCTCCTCTGGGGATAAAAAGTAACGACCGAAAATCAGCAAGTATAGACATCAGATCTATATACATTCTGCCTTTACGATATTATTGTATAGGTACAGGTCTAGAATTGAAATCCATCTTACCCTTTCTGCACCTAGAGCTATTACTACTATCGCTCAGTAGGGACCGTTTACACTTTCAAATCCAAGTTCCTCGCAAGTAACTTTATCTATAGAGAAAAAATGCTTTACCGCCATCCAGTGCCACTCTTATATCCGTTTCGAAGGAGCGAACCTTGAGTGGAACGGCGCTACTAGGTAGTCATGCTTTGACATCACGTGCTACACCGATCTGGTTTAGCTTGAGCCTAACCACTCTCGAGTTAGCTTCCCAGAGAGGAAGGATTATGTGAGCCTGTCTTCAAGGCGATCCGCAGAAGTTTCAGTTCTTCATTTTCCTGTCCCTTAGGGGGCACCCCATAGACCCCGAACTCCACGTGACCAATGACTCAAGGTAGCAAGGTGTGGGGTTCATCCAAAATCCACAAAACCCACCGTTTAACTCAAGATCACCTTTACGGTGTTGGTGAAAACTGCTAAATGGTGAAACCTGACTTAAACAATGCACCTCAATTTGCTCAAACATTGACCCTGTTCATGTCCACGCTATCAACGTCCACGTTATGCCTATTTACTTTTGCTCAACAGAGATTATTCTTTTTTCCACTTGTTTTCAACAGGTAGAGGCTGCTATCAACAGTTGATTCTGAAAGCTGTAACTTTTGCTCAGGCTTAGTCTAGAGGCTTTTGATAAAATATCATGCTTGTCCTTGTTTCATCACTAAATTATACGCAACCAACTATGCCTAATCAACAGTGTTCAAATCGTCACTTATTCTTCAACGATCACACCCACGAGGTATTCGGGCAAACCATGAATACTGCATCACCATTATGGGCGGAATTTGCGGAAATGAACTGTGACTGTTGAACACGCGACAGTTGAGTTAGTCTGGTAGATCCATCTACAGTGATCAAAAATCCATAAGTCAGGTAATTTCACCAGTTTCGAATTTCGTTGAGGATGGTGACGTTACACATAAAGACTCCCTGGCTTTTGGCCTTCTCAATATTTTGATGGAATCACCGATTCCGACCGGTGGAAGTTGTTTCAAGATAATCTCATTTAAGCTAGAGGTGAAAATTGTCTCAATACTTCTCTAAAATATAGTATTGTAACCTGTCGTAGAATCCCCGTACTTGCTCTAATATCCGTATAAGTTGCGGTATATAGCCCAATACCTTCTCACGATCCTACTATCTCCATAACCCCATTCGAAGAGTAGACACCTTACAGTAAGTATACTGCGGTCAAAATTGGCCTAATGTCTCCCGCCCATCAACTCCAGAGGCGGATATCGTATGCAACCCGGTCGAGATCGACGGGAATTCCCGTATTAACCTTATGGCGCCGGGCCAATAATAAGCCTTTAGTTGCCGATAAAGCCGCCAATTAGTAGTACCTCACCCCTTAAGAGGAGCAAGCGCTAGTAGAATATATGTTGCGCTTAGCGAACAACGGCTATCCGCTCCTAGTTAAGTTTCTACGGTCGCTCGCTCTAGTCATCGCGCGCTAACGATCCTCTATTTTCTAGGTTATAGGTCCTAGTCTCGAGATCCGGCCTCCGGGAAAGAATTGGCCGTAGGGTTTTTACTTACGCCATCCACAGTTGAAAGCGCGACGGCTACAAGCGATCGATTGGAAGAGGGATGATCGGCAGATTGAGGAGAAAGTCCGACACTAGTTTGCCGTTATTAGCCGTGAATTAGCTAATCCGGCTATTGTCCTAGAGAATATGTATAACATAGACGAGACTAGAGTTCTTCTTAGTGTTCTCAATTCCCTCAAGGTGCTCGTCGGTAAAAACGATTTAAGAAAGCATCGAGGGACCACGGTAAAGCGAACGCTAGTCACCGCGGTTGAATACATTTCCGCCGACGGTCGCTCCCTTTATCCTCTTATTATCTAGCTAGCCTCGACTTACCGTAGTTCATGGACCACTCACGCCACCCCTAGATAGCATTTTGCCTACTCCAAAACTGGCTACACGAATACAGAAATCAGCCTGTACTGGATAGAATATGTGTTCGATCCACAGACTCGAGAGCGAGCAGGCGATCGCCCCCGACTCTTAATCTGCGATGGTTTCGGTACTCACGAGTCTCTGGAGGTCTTGAAATTCTGCTTTGCTAACCGCATAATCTTATATCGTCTCCCTTCTCATACGTCTTATAAACTGCAGCCGTGCGATATGGGCGTTTTTGGTCCCTTAAAAACGGCATACCGGACACAGGTTAAGCAGGCATACCGCGCTGGGGTGGGTACCATCGGTAAGCCACACTTCACCTATCTTTATGATCGGGCCCGAAAGGAGGCACTTACGCCCCGGAATATACGATCCGCCTAGTCAAAAAGCGGTCTCTTTCTATTCGATCTATCTCGTGTCCTTTAAGGGTTGGAAGCAACCCAGACCGAGAAACAGATTGTGGTCGCTGTAGACCATACGACCGTGCCCTCTAATCCCCGTTGTATTCCAAACACCTCTGATTATTTCGTTGTGCTTCGGAGCGAGGTCGAGCAAGACATCCAGAATCTGAACCGTGTGTGCAAAGACCGTCTACAGACACTGAGCCGCGCGGCCGAAAAGGTCTTTGCGGAACGCGCGTTATTGTTGGAGGAGAACCGGATCCTATTTGAGCAGAACAATGAAAAGTCCTGTCGACAATCCACTGGCCAGACGGTTGTAGGACATGCAAAAGTTATGAGCTACGAAGATATTGTTGAAGCGCAGAAGAAACGCGACATGACGGCGGCGAAAAAAGGTCCGACGCGGAAAAAGAGGGCGAAAGCCGGGGACAAGCTGCTTACAAAATCGGAGGAGAAGCGCAAGGCGGAGCAGGAGATCCAAGTGTGGAATATGAGTGATTACTGTTCAGTTTTAGATTTATAGACTCATTCGGAATGTTAGAATTTCCCGTGTTCGCCAATCATTGTGCAGAGGTGAATTAAAGGTTACTACAGTACAGCTGGCGTTCGGATCTTACATATATTCCCGCGGGTGTCAGTATCTTCGTAGTCTGGGTGCGAGTAAAAAGGGTGGCCGTTTCCTGCGTCGTGCTAACCGTCCCATCCTATAATGGAGTTACTTTCGAGGAGGTGTAGTTCGAATACGAGAAGTGTATGTGACCCCTCAAGCACCTCACAGCGATGGCCTACGTGGGACACACATCTGAAAGCTCAACTCAATCTTTATGGTCAAAATGCATTCGCTTGCTCATGTTGCATCGGCATTCGTTGATTTTGTGAAAAAAAAGGGGGGGAAGCAAGGGGAAAAAACCCACCGACTTTGGAAGGTCACTTATTTTCAATCCTGAAGGGGGTGACAGCAAGTTTCTTATGGCCTGAGAAATTCTCCGGCTTTTTCGAAGGGCTATTCGAAGCGACATCTACAGGGGTATTGAGGTTGAACATTGTCAGGTTGGCAAAAGTCAGAATTATTCACACTTTCGCGCGTGCTACCGTCAGTTAAATGTCGCTTTAATTCGGTTCATTTAATGTGCCTGAGATTTTACAGTAGTTTTCGAAATCAGTTTGACCACTCACTCTTTAGACTTGATTCCCGGAAAATAAATCCGAAAAACGCTAATCCCGTTTAGGGTCACCGCTCTATTAATTGGCCAGAACTATGGTTGTAATAACTATACCTCATTGAAGGACGTATTGTAATATAGCAGTAATGATACATCGAATCCCGTTAGTAACTTAAGTGATCTGGCAAGATCATCTGCCCACTTTCCGCCTTCCCTCCAGTAGACGCTCTGCCAGGTGGCTTTTGTGGTCCTTCTCAGGCCGACGACCACCTCTTTAATTACTAGTTAAGTAACAGGCGCCAGCAAAAATCGACATAAAGTAGGCCTTTAAGCTACCCTAAGTATCTATATTCATGATAAAAACACAGTTAGGCTAGTCTACGCCACGAGCTCATCCATAGCCCCAATTTTTTTGCTTTATAGATGTGAAATTGCCTTGCTGTGCGAAGTACGAATAGCGAGGTGAGGTTTTGACGTTATCTGTAGAGACCCCCAAGGGCGGGAAAAGGAGGGAAACCCCTCAACCTTGAAAGGAATAGCAGCCCTAATTACGGGCAGAACAAGACACAAAGAGCCAAGTTCGGGCTGACTGGGAATACTGCGTACGCTACATGACCCGACTCCCTGACAACGACGATAGTCCATCATTTTCAGGGTATAAACTCTCCAAGTCGATTGATCGTCCTACTATGTACAGTATACCCTAATTTCTAGCGCAACTTGTCGGTTTTCCTGCTACTCGTCCGGACCCGGCTCATAGATATCCAGCAGCCGTCTCCGCAACCTGCACGGACATCGTACAAAATCCCGGTGGAGAACAACCGGGATCCCCAAATCCACCTTATGGCGTCAGGCCAACGAGAAGCCTTCCATTACCGATAAAGCCGCAAATTACCAGTACCTTATCCCTCAAGAGGAGCAGGGGCTGGTAAAAGAATACAGTATATGTTGCTGTTGACAGATAACGGCTATCCGCCTCTGATCAAGTTCTAACGGTCGCTCGATGCGCGCTAACGATTCTCGGATTTCCAAATCAAAAACCCCACTGTCGACGTCCCATCCCCAGGGAAGCATTGGCCGCAGGATTCCTTCCAGCGCTCTCAACATTCGGTGGTAGGGCTGTAAGTACGCATTTTTTATGTTAGAACTCAAGCTAAGTAGAGAACAGGTCGCCTTGCGTACTTAGTCTCGACTTGGTATTGACACACCCAAAATCCAGGTTATCTAAAATGACTCCTACACTGATATTTGACTAAACCTGGCCTCCACCCTTCTCCATGTCCGAGCCCCCCTATATCTCTGTACGGAGGTACAGTCTCAAGTGTGACCCGTACTTATACACCAGAATACCCATAAAACCAAAAACGGCAACCAAGGTTCCATAGACAGAGAAGGCCGTCATGTACCCACACTGAGCAATGAAAGCCGTGGAACCATGCGATATCCCGAAACTGACGTCCCCACGTAAGATAGACACGATAGTCGATGCAGCGAGCGAGTCGGTTGGATCGGTTGTCGAGATCATGTACGTATATGTTACCTCGAGAGTCCCGGAAAAAGCCACCAATATGCAGAAATGGAGGAAGATCAATACAAACCAATGAGGTTGCCAGACTCCAAGTTGCGAGTCTAAATACTGTTCTGCTAGTGCACCAAAGCCAATATAGGATGCGAAGGCGATGGCAACAGGTATCACGAGCACGAGAAGACGATGCTCGGGGATACTGATGCCTTTGTTTTTTTTAGCCATTGTGACAAGGATCCAGTCGCTGCCCCATCCGAAGATCAGCCAGTTAACTGCATGGAAATTAAGTCAGCTATTTGGAAGTGATATTCAGCTCATATACTCGAGGGGCTACTGACCAAGGGAGACAGGAACGCCAGCCAAATTGATAAGTCCAATATACTCGCCGGGCCAAGACCATGGCGGGGCGAAGAGAAGATTGGCAAAATAGGTCGTGTACGCCACCATGCCACTGCGCTAGTCAGTCAGAGAGACGAGAAGAAAGGGGCAATGAGGGGGAAAGCACTTACCCAGTAATAGTGGCATTCAGAATGCCATTCCACCAGATAGTTGGGTTAAGTATCAGCCTACCCATCCGTTTGTAGATAAAGAAAAAGTCACCTTCTTGGCCACATGCACAACCTGGCCAGATGTTGAGCTGCCGAGCGAGGCTAAAGTTGCTTTTGTTTGAGATGTATGCAGCAGAATGTTTCATCGCTTTGTGCTGCGTGGTAGACATTGCTCCTCGCCTCTCTGGTTGCTGAGTGCGATCATAGTATACTTCTGGCATAAATAAAAAAAATCCCAACATGCAAAGTATGGTTAAGCCGGCAAATAACCAATAGGGGCCCTTATAAGAAGGCGAAGTTTTCACAAAAGGGACTGTAGTGCTCAGAATGTAGAAGAGAGCATAGCCTACATTCAGGACGACTCCCATCAACTTCCCTCTTTCGTGAAGGAAGCTGATGTCTTGGACAATAATGTAGACAATTGCATCTGAAGGCGCAGTTCCGACAGCTTGGAGGATGCGCGACCCTAAAAAGGATGAGTACGACGTTGCTAGGGCTGCCCAGATAACAGACACAAGTAGAATCGTGTTCGAGACAAGTAGCGCAAAACGGCGCCCGTAGGTGATGACAAGCGGCACGAAAATCAGACTTGATGGCGCACATACTGCGGTGATGATTGTGACAAGGAGGTTGATGTTGCTGGCTGATGCAGATGCAAATTCAACCTCAATGTTTGGCAAGATGTTGGAGATGAACGATTGCGTGGCCAAGCAAGTAGCCGCCCAAAGACTGAGGAAGCCTAATATAGTCCATCGCCTCCAAGTAGGCCAATTCAAGGGATCTGCTGGATCATCGCATGGAGTAGGGGAAAGAAGAACTTCCCCTTCAAAACCAAGGATCCGGTATGGAACCGGCTCCTCGTGTTTGAGAGATGCGTTGACTTCGACAGTATGAGACGCCATTCCACAAGCCGAGCTAAATGTGCAAGTACTGAATTGAAGACAGTCCATTTGAAGACTCATCTTTTTAAATCATCATACATCATCCTTGACGACGGTCCCTTACACCCGAATATCGGTCTTTTCCCCACTCTTATCGGTCTCTGAATCTCTATCATGATAGAAACAAGCCGTATCTCTGCTGCGTGGCTTCCGGGTGCCGATTCGGCTCCACCCTTTTCCTGTGCTTCTTAAGACAAGACCGGACCGGTGCATGTGCTGACAAATACGTGACCAAAATCCTATTGCCAAATAGATTAGTTCTTTCTAGCCCTGGTCCGGGTTCAAAAATTGAGTACACCGGAACGTCTTAGCGTCAATCATCCTCCGTAGAAGACTCGGCTCCACTTGCAGTATGCATGGTCACAATCTCACCAATAGCTACCAATTGAATTAGCAAATTAATGTGATCCTGTCGTAGAAAGACGTTTGAAGCTGACCAATTGAACAAAATGATCTGGAAGTACCAGAACGACGGTGTTTGATGGGCTAACGGGATACACATCTGTGCCCGGAATCAACCGGGAAAGTTGAGGTCAATGGGTGGTAGGCAGTTCTTTTCCCGGGTATATATAGAACAGAAATAATACGCCTTAACAACTATCCTGTTAGTTGCATATCGAATCTCCTGAATTACGCGAAGATATATCCCAAACATGTCTAGCGAGGATGCCTCTATCGCAGCCCTCAGAGCCAAAAACCACGCGACAATCGAGAAATACCTCAAAAATCCGGGTATATCACGCCTTGAATGTTTTACCGAGGACGGAATTAAAGAACTCACATTTGCGACGCACCCTTCTATTTTCTCGCCCGACAACGAGACCCCGATCTCATGGAACGGAAAGGATGCTCTCCGAGAAACTTTCCATTACAATGAAGAGACCTTTACAGGGGAATGGAAAACGCCGAAAATCTACTCTACTCAAGATCCGAATAAATTCTGGGTTGAAACAGCCCTGGATGCGACTTATGTCGTGAATGGGAAGAAGATACCCTATCGGCAGCCTTACTACGTTATGTCATTTGACATGGAGGACGGATTGATTCGATTATTCAGAGAGATCATGAATCCACTTCAGGTCATCAAGACTCATGGATGTCACGATGCGGAGTTGCTTTTGAAACGGAACGAGCCACTCGAGTAGCTTTGAGGAATAAAGCTCTATGAATAACTGATCTTCCGTGATTTTTTGTGTTCGTGATACTTATGTATGATTCTCGGACTTATGTGAATTCACCGCAAGCAAGCTTGTGCTTGTAATGGCCGAACTATTGCAGCGTCTTGGAAAGTACTGTACAGACACGTTGAAATTCCTTCGACCATTCAGTGATCCGGCAATATATGGAGAATTTGAGAGGATAAGCAGGAAGTCATCGCGCCTTTTAACTAAGCTAGGTGTATTAGGTACTCGTATACATTAATTTGCATTCTAAGTTTGAATTTCCAGGGGATAAACAAGAATTTTCATATATGGCTATATCAAGTTGCCCGTATAGTCAACATGAATTCGATTGCAAATCCAACAATGAAGGTAACTAAATTGAAACAATCTCCAGTCAACGACTACAACGAGCCACGAGGCGCGACCATCTTGAGCACCTCCTGCGCTGGCAAGAATGTCTCTAGGACAGGACGGCTTAAAGCTCCTGGGTCTTTGCCCTCTGATGCGAGAGCCTTTTGGAACTCCAATTCAGTGTCAATAGTAGTAAGCCACTTCATTTGCTGCGCAGTCGCCAGTTTTCCTCTTTCTGTCTGGCTTCCAGGCTCTTGACTAGCCTCCAGCAATTGGAATACCTTCAAAATGTGCGGACCTCGTGTAGCATTGTAGAGCTCAACTGAAACGGCTAGTCATTAATACATGACCGGGTAGGGGCAGTCTAGGTAAAGCTTACGAGCTCGTCGAATTGTTTCGTTCGACCAGCATCCATTCACTCTATAAGAATGATTGAGAGCCAGAGTCAAGGTTTTCGCATCCTCAAATGCAAAGCTGCACCCTGCTCCGAATGCACCACCAGTTGCTGTAGTATGATTAAAAAATACCCACGATCTAAAATAACAGGAACAGGAGACATACGGTGCGCCGCATCGCCAACAAAGCATATCCGGTCATTGGCTATAAGTGAAGTGAGCCAACCACCCCTCGCAATTGCTATTTCAGGCCAAAAGGTTAGCACTTGTCCTTCAATTTATGACGATCGCCACATACGGAAGATGCCCATGTTCCTTGACTGGTCAAGAATTTTGTTGATCAACGGAGTGCATCCCTAGAACTTTTAGAATTGTAAGATCCCAGGCTATCCAATTTCAAGGCTTACCTCTAATTGCTCTCTGAGTTTGCTCACTGTTCAATGGTCAGTCTCTAGATGCATATTGAAACTCACAACAATAATCGACAAACATCGTGAGGAATTCATGCTATCAGCCCATCCCAGCTGTGCTACCTGCTCAGGATCATCAGGCATCACAGCAATGAAGCCAAACCTGCCGCGGCCCTAGATAAAAGATTGTCAAAAACAAATTGAGTAAGGTCAAGAGCTTGCGGCCCACATACTATATCTCCAATGAAAACCATCTTCTCCTCTTGAAAGAAACAATGGGTTCCTTCAGGTAGGTCGGGAATAGTCCTGGACAAATGCTCTCTCTCGAAGACTTCCATATACTCTACTTGAGGCCTTGACTCTAAGATTAGTGCGCGATATGTATGGCTTGCACAAAATGGGCGCTTAAGCCTCGCAAAATGTGCATCCCGACGAACTTACAAGTACTTGACTACATTCTCGGGATATAGTTGCTGGCGAAGCTTCTGCAGAAATTTCAGTATTAATCCAGAGTAAAGGTGACTGGAGAATACTCACAGACTTGATTCCGTCTGCCACGACAACAAGATCCACCTCAACGTGGGAGCCATCGTGGAAGTGGACGGTGGCAGAGTCATCATTTACCGCAAAGCTAGTACCTTTCTTACCAAGAAAAACACAATCTTTTGGCAGCTGGTTGATTATTACCTGAAGTAAATCCTGCCGAGTAGTTCCGGCTTGGCCCCTTCTACTCCGCCTTTCCTCAGGAGAGGCGTTTTCGGGAAGTGGGCCACCGGAGAGAAGGACTCGTCCACTCTGCCAATCTCGCACGGTGGGATCCGAGTACGTTCGAGAGCAGATCGAATCCACGACGTTCTCCCCGCAGATCTCTTCAAGCAAAAGCTGACCGGCAGGCGTAACCCCAATCCAGCTGAAGTTTGTCAGCGACAATTTTCGCTCGCCTCCAGGGATTAAACATATGGGAGAATGGCATACGCTCCGACATGACGGTGCACAAGTGACCGTTCATAAAGCCGTATATCGATATCCGGTAGCCTTTAGTTGCCATTAATATCAAGGGTATTAACAAGGGTTAATTGCAACACTGACGACTTTGCAAATGCACCAACCGCGGCGCCAGCCAGGCCGACACCAATGACCGCGATCCGAAGCGGGCGTTTGTCTGCAGATCCCATTTTGTGATATTTGGGTATTTCAGGCTTCGGTTTCTGTCAAATTATCTTTATATAAAACTATACCTACTTTGCATTGCCGACTTTCCCTGCCGTTCATGCCTTTATCTCCGCCTTTATCAGTTTTGCTCATGCCTTACAACGGAGAAAGAGCCACTCGTGAATTAGCATCATTCTGTCAAAATGATAGCCGGCTCGTTGCCGGCTAGTTTCCGGATCTAGGTGGTTAGTAAAGTACCTTATCGTTTGATTTTCTAAAATATTCTTGTTTAACGTCATGCATAGACCCCCAGAGGTTGCCGGATCAAAGCCGGTAAGCTGCCGGTTTTATCTGACCCTTGTTATCATGGCGCAGAATACCAATCAACTATCTTTGATGTTATCAGCATTGCAACCGATAGATTGTATAGAGTGTACGGTACAAATGTACTCAAAGGACTTTGCCAGAATGAAAGCAGCAAATGAGGGGAATGCAGACGCAGAATAGCTATATATGAGGGCAACCTTTCAACTGTTCGAGTCATTGTCCTACATCTTGAGTAAGTCACTGAGCTACCAGCAGCCTTGCATTGACAATTATGAACACGGGAACACAGCACGAGACTCCTCACCGGACTGAGCATCCAGCAGCGAGACGCGAAGAGATGATACAGAAAGAAGTATTGGAAGATCAGGTACAATAGCGATCAATGAGACCCTTCATTAACAACAAAGATGAGAGAATAAATTAACCTATTTCCATAGATTCTAGACGATGCCGGCAACATCATGGTTACCCCACGTATCACTTTTAGTATGGAGGATCCCCTGAATATGCCACAGTGGAGGAAGTGGTTATTCCTGGGTTTGATGTGTTGCTGGTCTGGCATCGGCTTCAGTACGCAGTCATTTTTATGTGAGTAGCGGTATCATATTTGTAACGACGGAAGCAAGGCCATCGTGACTAAAGCTATGCCGTGTAACAGCAAGCGTGCTCCCACAAGTTCAAGAACAATTTCCAACTGCTTCTATGTCTGCTATCAATTTACTATTCACGATCAACGGTCCTTTGATCGCTCCAGCCAATATACTATTCTTTATTAGCGCCTCCACAGTAGGCATGCGGCCGACACTGCTCTTTGCGGCAACAACTTTTGTCGTTTCCAACATACTAGGAGCTGTAACAACAAGCTATATTGGCCTGCTTATCTGTCGAATCCTGAACGGCATTGCTACTGCCCCTACAGATGCATGTAGGTTTAAATGACACGGCCTTTTCGTTCAGTAACCCATGATTACTGATCTTTTCTAGTACAATTCACATACATTGAGAAATTTACATTCTTGTGAGCTATATCCCAGAAGACAGTTGGGCTATAACTAATTCTACGCTAGACACGAAAGGGGCCTATTTCTAGGAGTCCTTAATAGTTCGGCAGCGGTGAGTTCCAATTCTTTTCCAAGTATTCTGACCGAGAACCAAAATCGTTGATATTCAAGATAAGGCACTCCAACTTTTCTTGAATATTGCAAGTTCATACAGTAAGTAAAGCGTTTGACTGAGACAGCACCAGAGGGATATGTTTGCTCACGTGGGATTTGAAGTTGTCGCTTCGATTGGGTTAAGATGGTATGAAAGAGCACCACCCGTCCACTCATTTGAGCCACAATAACTCTTCTAGGGCATTCGTTCTCTATTCAATATTGAGTGGGTCGTGTCTCATCGCCTGGTGGGTTCTTATGCCAGAGTTGAAGTTGGTGGCCCATTCTCTGCTGATTGAGATGATTCATGTCTGATATTTATAGCTTTCGACGCGAGCCACAAAGCCTAGCACCTCCTATGACTCTGAGTGTTTATCGCTCCTGGAGAAAGACGCTACGCACCCGTCCGCTGAAAGATGAAATACTAATGAGCCCGTTCTCCAAGGAAACAAATGCTAGTCTCGGAGAAGTGAAAGCTAGCCTTCTCTTACTAATAACCGCGGCTTCTAATCCCATGATCTGGTGGTACGATCGCCCGCTTTGCCAGAAGCTCTCTTCGCTAAATCTCCTCTAGGCTGGGTGCATGCCAAACCGTATTTTTCGGTGGCTTTAGTGCTTTGGCCACTTATTACGCCGCTGTAAGTGACCCATCAATTATCCCCGACCCGGAAAGAAATACCTAACCAAGACGGTAGATGCTTCAGTCCAAACCATGGAGCTGGCCGGCGGGTAATGTGAGCTTGCTCAATCTCACCGGGTTTTTCATGGTAAGAATTTTCGTGGAGTTAATGCGACAAGACTAACTGCTATACCAGGCCCCATTGCTTGTCTTCGCTGGATGGATGTCAGATAGAATTTCTCTCAAGCTAGCCAAACGCCGGGGTGGAATATCGTGTGTATATTGATCCTGGAAAGCTCTCTCTATATTAATCATGAGGAACAGGCGCCCAGAAGACCGACTGTGTATCATGGTGTTGCCCGTCGTTGCATGTACGCGCGTTTTCCATTATATTCCGGATGAAGTACTTACAATTGCTTTGACTAGGTTTTACGGGTTTCATCGGGTTCGGCTTCTTAGCTGAACATTATTTTGATGTTCAAAATATCACGCAACCTCACTGGTTTAGTCTTGTGGTTGTCTGTATGTGATACCGTACTATCCATCATTTGTTTGTACCAGCTAACTGGACATAAAGATACTCTCGCTATTGTGGGGATGGTTGGTGGAATTGAGGTAACATGTGGGTAAAAGTACCAAACAGATAAGGGAAAGTTTCAACCCACTTGCTCACCTACATTCTACAGCGGTTTACCTCTACGGCTCCGTAGACGTTAGCGAGTCGTTGGCGGCGATGACGATCTGCTGTTGCATAAGAGATTTGGCATCTTTTGGACTGAACCGTAAGTTCATTACCCTCATTTAAAACCTATTTTCCTAACCGAAACAGATGGAATCGTTTCGTTTGTGGACCGTGAGGGATATGCAGCGAGCTTCGGAACTTATGGTGGTCTTTCCATCCTTCTCGGAGGCGTTGCCGTGCCAATTCACTTGAATGGGCCTAGGATTAGGCATTGGCTGCGGAGGTCGGGCTGAAAGTAGCGGGAGTTTGTGAATAAAATGGAGAATTTCTGAGGATCTACTCTGTTTAACATAGCAGGATACGTGAACGTTCGGAGGCAGAATTAGTTTTGATGGTTATACAGTCGTTCGCTTGACGAGTACATTCTTCGATAATCACGTAATTAACTCCACGTTGATGCCTTAGGGGTAAGGCATTGATAGACGGGCCCTATTCACTGGGGAATGGATCGAAATATTGTTATGGCCAAGAAAGCTAAGTAGAATGTGATTTAAGATTAGTTTTCTGTAGAGCTTGGATGAGCATACAGGAACAATAACTAACGTCTGCAAACCACTGTGCTTTGCCATAATCGTAATTCCAGGAGTTCTGGTGAGGACACCAAGACCCAGGGCTCCAGTCGGAAGACTGCTTAGTAATTCATATCGCGAACCAATTGGAGATCAACAGGTCTGAATCGCTACCAGGCCCCTTAGGTGGCAAATTGACTAGTTATTGGGGTAAAATGACTAGTACATGCGGGTTTACTATACCTCCGTTATCATTGCTGCTGCGTTCGGACAATGTGTCGGAACAGAAGCAGCAGTGGATACCGGAGAACGGAGATAGTATTAGACCGCTTGCATTAGTCATTATTATGCCCACATAAATTGCCAGATAGCGGCTTTACGCAGTCGACCTGCGTATAGCAATTCAGACTTGTTGACATCCAATTGGTGCACCATGCATTTGACTAAGCAGTAATTCCGACTCAATGACCTCAACCTGAGGCAGAGCGGAGAACGGGAATAATATAGTCCGCTGATGCCTGTGCCTAATCCCTCCTTTGCTGCTTGTCAGGGATCGGCATTCCCCTTTCCAGGGCAGCCTCCTGCATGCATGACGACATAACTTACAACGAACCATCGATCATTCTTCCTTTCCGCCAAAAGTCCACAGAGCCATACTTGACGATCTAGACTTGTGAAGGTTCAACAATCATTTTCCCCGGATGTCATCTCACTCACCATAATTCAAAAGGTGGCGGTGGCGGGACCGTGGGCTCGATTGAAAAAGGATACTCTCCCGTATCTTCTAATCGTCAAAGCCATTTTCTTTCTGATGACCTCCATACCTGACTTTTTAGCAAGCGAATTATTGGATAGTGTTGGATACCAAACACTAACAATAGCAGGTTGCCTTCAGCAGAACCGACTTGACCAGAGGCAAATTGAACTAGTCCTGGAGCGATACAGCAAGCTTGCTTTCTTAGACGGTCGACTCATTGACGCTGCACGCTGTGACCGCCGTTCAGTTGATCATGCAATACTTTTACTCGAAGCCCACGTGAAGCTAATTTCGTGGCTTGCTGTACAGAACTATACCATAACTGCTGCTTCTGTTAAATGGTATAGTTGTAAGAAGCTACGGCACAGGTACCGCCTTTCATTTATTTGTTGGTCGCGTTGTTTGTCACAACTCCAAAGCGCCATCGATAACATCATGGATTAAGGAGCAGTTGTCCGTGATGACATCGTCCGTTATCAGGCAAGATTTCCGTATCACTGGCTGAATCGTTCGCTGATGTCTACCGAGATTACCGCTGGTTTAGCTGGGTTTCAACATCCTATAACTTCTTCGTGCTCTCCACGACAGATATCTCCTACTCGTTAGTTACATGTCTGACTTGTTATGAACCGCGCTGAATCACTAATGAGTTTTGCATAGAGTTCAATACTGCTCTCCATCAAGGTTGGAACGCTGTACAATTCTTGAATGGACGCAGTCTAGTCGTGCCTCAATATTTGAAATTTAACGCGTCTTGACCTGCAATACTCTACTTTGTTTACACAAAATTTCCCTGCGACATGAAGAGGCCCTCCAGATTCGACACAAATCGAGGAAATTCTACTACACTGACTAGGAGTCAGTGGTCGCCTGAGGAAGTGGCAATTACGGTTTATTTTACTTCTCGACAGATTCATCCAAGGACACTCCGTTACCTGCTTTTGCGTCGAGGTTATGACCGTTCTACCTGCGCTATTCAGCAAAATCTTTTCCTTACACCAACAGTATCCACAACTGAAGTCTCGCGGAAATTGGAACTGGGATATTGTTGATCACTGGATCGACGACTTACTCGGAAATCATGATTCAGTGAATAAGTTGGTCCTATTTTCACCGGCGGATGCCGAGAACGTGGCAATTGTAAGCTGTACTCTCAAGTTCATTCAACCTTGTAGCCTTGTACTAACCGTTTTCTAATAGAACCAACAAATTGAAGAACCCCTGAAACTCCTCAACTTTCGTCGTCCCACCCGAAGGAAATGAAGCATAATGTTTCCACCTGCTGTCAGATTGAGCTTAAATGGAGGCATCACTGATGACCTGTACTTTTTTGAACTGTAGTTTAACGACCGTCTGCACGATTCATGTTCCGTTTGCTCGTATAACGTAACTTAGCACCAGGGATATTATTTTAATTAGGGAACTGACCCTGACCAGCTAGAATCCAACAAAGAAGAATAAACGCCCAGTTTGTAGACACTCGGAAAAGACATCGAATGTGCAGCCCTACACCAGTTGTATACGTGTCATGTCACAATGGCCTACGTTGTAGACTACGTACTGTAGATCTAGATATGTAGGGCGTGTCTTTAAACCAGCCATACCTTTCTGGTGCCTTGCTGGAAGTAAAGTTTATAGACCCCTATATTATGCTGGTCAAGATAACTTCGGTTACATCCGAAGGGGACTCACTCTGATTCTCCAATAGGAAAATGTCCTCATCAGGAAGAAAGTCAAAGTCTTCAGCGAATTCGCACCATAAATCTTGAGTTCGACCATTTTGATTGTCAAAAGTGAGGCGAACGTCCCTCGCCTCCCCAGTGAAACATCTTTCGAGGCAATCTTCCCCATCTTCTCCAAGGTAAATGTGAATCACTGGCAGCCGCGTGGAGATGATGTTGTTGATACATGTGCTTTTAGGCATCGTGCGATATTATGTCGTGGTGAGTGGAGGAGGATCGACAAAACCCAGAATGATACGGAACCTATGTTTGGTTGATGTTGGCTAGGTACAGGCTTATGATGGAGGAATGCGAGAAATGTGTGAAGTATGATATAGACACGCTTTTGCCCTTTCGCCGCTGCCTCCGTGGATTGAAGTCTCAAGCCTCAGGATTTATTGGCCAAGGGTAATCATGCGAAAGACGAGAACAAACCGCCCATCGGAAATCTTGCTAGTGACTCAGGTTTCGGCTCCGAAATTTAGTTGTGATTGTCCCTGCGGCCCAGCATCTGAGTTTACGGAGGTCTCTCGGATCGGGTGATCTCCTAGCGTAGACTATTGTTGCCTATACTGCTAACCCGGTAGTCTACAATATGAGCATACTCATCGGTCAAATCCAATAATATGACCATAGTCCATGCAGCTGGTTCATGTGGCGTCCGTAATTAAGTAGAACGTGGTCAGGATCCGGATCCTCAATGAGTATGTGAGTTCGGAGTTTGGACCTTGAACCTTGAAATACTTTTCGTGGCTTCACGACGCTCTCGTCCTCTGAAAACAGGTTGCTCCACCATGAGCGATACCAGTTCGTCCTGAACATTGTACCACCAGTCAGAACTGGCTGTGGGTATTGCCTCTGGTCGATAGTCGCTGAACTCCCATATGAATTACAGTACTGTATCAAGAGGGCCAGGGTCACTAATGGAATAATTATGCTGAGTGGTAATATTGAGACCATTGAGTGTATGACCATGAGCACCGTAGACCGTCATTTTGCAGACAACGATCTTTGATTATGATGAGTGTTATGTCGATCTGTCGCTCCAAAAAAGTACATAGGATCTGATGAATTTTAGCCAAAAAGTACTGATCAATTGAAACGGTGCCAACGGAACACGAAGGGCGTGAAGAAAATCCTGACACAAATATTTAAAGCCGGGGAAGATGAAGGTGAGGGGTACAGTACAAGTGAATACACACCTGAAATTATTATGTGACTAACGTATCAAGCGATACATAACTACAGTAACCCCCATCCCGGTAACATGAAATGCCCTATGTGATGAAACGCCCACTAGGTACCTGCACATTGGAGGTCCGTCACCGTCAATACACGTCTTGAATATTGCCTGAAAGCTGCACAAACATCATTCATCAAATGCTTTATTAATAGCTCTTTTCAAACAGGGATTACAAAATGTTAACGTGGGGATTTACAGACCGAGACGCACTGCTAGAAAGGCCGCTGTTAACTACTATCACGCCAAGATCATCAACCACAACACCTACGATGGGTAAGAAAGGAACTGTGCCATCCATTCGTCTACCTTTCGCCCAAAAATGATTTCCGAACATATCATAATTATATTGCCTTAGAGCATACCAAGATGGTGAAAGTCTTGGCACTAGAAAGGTACATGAAATAAAAATACTAATAATGCGAATATATAGGATAAAAATAAGCATATAACGTATTATATAGAAAGTACTAGCGCCACTTAGTGAACAGCCACACCTTAACTTATCCGCACGTGGGACATGGCCTACTAACCTACAATGTGACGGAGCAGTAGGATTAGTGGATACCGGTATACGGAGATACTATAGGCCCGCCAGTATTAGTCATATAATTGCCCATCCAAATTGCTAGCTAGGGGGTTCATAGTAATTCAGACTCATTGCGATTTCTTATTAGGTGCACTATAGCTTACTAAACCTACGTTCTATCACAATGGAACATAAGTCCGGTGGATCCACCTATAAGGATAAACAGGAACAAACGTGGTTCACAAAGTTGAGATATTAGATTGATATATATACTACCTCTACACTACATACTATAGGCACAATCCAGAATTAAGGATCTTCGTGTTCCTATGTTAATCGACAAAGTCTAAAGAACGTCGAGGCTGAGCGCAAAGTAAGATTGCTCACGCACAAACATCTTATGTCGTGCTTCTAGCGCCTGTCAATACATCGCCTACGCCTATACAGATTTCCATTGCCTATCAAGGACTGAGCCAAGTTTATTAACAATAGTGAGCGTATCAGGATACTCGCGGCCGAGCAGCTTCTCACACCTTTCTAACGCCCATAGATACATTACTTCCGCCTATTCATGTTTCCCTCGCTTAGAGAGCAATTTACCGAGGTTATTAACACTAGCGAGCGTGTCAGGATACTCGCGTCCAAGCACCTTCTCTCGTGCTTCCAGCGCCCGTCGATGCATCGCTTCAGCCTCTTCGTATTTTCCTTGGCTATCAAGCACATTACCAAGGTTGTTAACACTAGTGAGGGTGTCAGGATGCTCGCGTCCAAGCACCTCTTCATATCCTTCTAACGCCCGTCGATACATCGCTTCCGCCTCTTCATTTTTCCCTTAACTATCAAGCACTAATCCAAGGTTACTAACACTAATGAGCGTGGAGGGATGCTCGCGTCCAAGCACGTTCTCTCGTGCTTCCAGCACCCGTCGATACATCGCTTCAGCCTCTTCGTATTTTCCTTGGCTGTCAAGCACATTACCAAGGTTGTTAACACTAGTGAGGGTGTCAGGATGCTCGCGTCCAAGCACCTCTTCATATCCTTCTAACGCCCGTCGATACATCGCTTCCGCCTCTTCATTTTTCCCTTAACTATCAAGCACTAATCCAAGGTTACTAACACTAATGAGCGTGGAGGGATGCTCGCGTCCAAGCACGTTCTCTCGTGCTTCCAGCACCCGTCGATACATCGCTTCAGCCTCTTCGTATTTTCCTTGGCTGTCAAGCACATTACCAAGGTTGTTAACACTAGTGAGGGTGTCAGGATGCTCGCGTCCAAGCACCTCTTCATATCCTTCTAACGCCCGTCGATACATCGCTTCCGCCTCTTCATTTTTCCCTTAACTATCAAGCACTAATCCAAGGTTACTAACACTAATGAGCGTGGAGGGATGCTCGCGTCCAAGCACGTTCTCTCGTGCTTCCAGCACCCGTCGATACATCGCTTCAGCCTCTTCGTATTTTCCTTGGCTGTCAAGCACATTACCAAGGTTGTTAACACTAGTGAGGGTGTCAGGATGCTCGCGTCCAAGCACCTCTTCATATCCTTCTAACGCCCGTCGATACATCGCTTCCGCCTCTTCATTTTTCCCTTAACTATCAAGCACTAATCCAAGGTTACTAACACTAATGAGCGTGGAGGGATACTCGCGTCCAAGCACGTTCTCTCGTGCTTCTAACGCCCGTCGATATATCGCTTCCGCCTCCTCATATTTCCCTTAACTATCGAGCACTAATCCAAGGTTATTAACACTAGTGAGCGTGTAAGGGTACTCGCGCCCAAGCACCTTCTCTCGTGCTTCCAGCACCCGTCGATACATCGCTTCCGCCTCTTCATGTTTCCCTTGCCTGTCAAGCACATTACTAAGGTTACTAACACTGGTGAGCGTGTCAGGGTGCTCACGCCCAAGTACTTTCTCACTCCCTTCCAACGCCCGTCGATACATCGCTTCCGCCTCTTCGTATTTTCCTTGGCTGTTAAGCACATTGCCAAGGTTGTTGACACTAGTAAGCGTGTTAGGATGCTCGCGTCCAAGCACATCTTCATATCCTTCTAACGCCCGTCGATACATCGCTTCCGCCTCTTCATGTTTCCCTTACCTATCAAGCACATTAGCAAGATTGTTGACACTAGTAAGCGTGTTAGGATGCTCGCGTCTAAGCACCTTCTCTCGTGCTTCCAGCACCCGTCGATGCATCGCTTCCGCCTCTTCGTATTTTCCTTAGCTATCAAGCACATTACCAAGGTTATTAACACTAGTGAGCGTGTCAGGATGCTCGCGTCTAAGCACATCTTCATATCCTTCCAACGCCCGTCGATACATCGCTTCCGCCTCTTTATGTTTCCCTTACCTATCAAGCACATTAGTAAGATTATTAACACTAGTAAGCGTGTCAGGATACTCGCGTCTAAGCACCTTCTCTCGTGCTTCCAGCGCCCGTCGATGCATTGCTTCAGCCTCTTCATGTTTCCCTTACCTATCAAGCACGTTAGCAAGATTGTTAACACTAGTGAGCGTGTCAGGATACTCGCGTCTAAGCACCTTCTCTCGTGCTTCCAGCGCCCGTCGGTGCATTACTTCCGCCTCTTCATACTTCCCTTAGTGGTCAAGCACACTACCAAGGTTACTAGTATTAATAAGCGTGTTAGGATGCTCGCGTCCAAGCACGTTCTCTCGTGCTTCCAACGCCTATCGATATATCGCTTCAGCCTCTTTATGTTTCCCTTGCCTATCAAGCACATTAGCAAGATTATTAACACTAGTGAACGTAGAGGGATGCTCGCGTCCAAGCACGTTCTCTCGTGCTTCTAGCACCCGTCGATGCATCGCTTTAGCCTCTTCGTATTTTCCTTAGCTATAAAGCATATTACTAAGGTTACTAACACTAGTAAGCGTATAAGGGTGCTCGCGCCCAAGCACTTTCTCTCGTGCTTCTAACGCCCGTCGATACATCGCTTCCGCCTCTTTATATTTCCCTTAGCTATCGAGCATATTACTAAGGTTACTAACACTAGTGAGTGTGTTAGGATGCTTACGCCTAAGCACCTTCTCTCGTGCTTCTAACGCCCGTCGATACATCGCTTCCGCCTCTTTATATTTCCCTTAGCTAGAGAGTATATTACTAAGGTTACTAATACTAGTGAGCGTAGAGGGATACTCGCGTCTAAGCACGTTCTCTCGTGCTTCTAACGCCCGTCGATATATCGCTTCCGCCTCCTCATATTCCCCTTACCTATAGAGCATATAGCTAAGGTTACTAACACCGGTAAGCGTATCGGGATACTCGCGTCTAAGGACTATCTCTCGTGCTTCTAATCCCTACCGCTATATCACTTCTACCTCTTCGTAAGCTCCTTAAAGACTAAGAAACCATCTATAATTAGATAAGAGGGCAGCGGTATTTAATCGATCTTTATTATCTATATTAAGTAGAGACTGTAATACACTTTTCGTATATATAAGAAGCGATCTATATTACGTCTAGCTTTTATAGTCGCTATCTAGAAATACCCGTGCTATAATCCCTCGCGATTTCGTCTACTAGCTATAGAGCTACTAGTGCGTCGCTAACTATACCCGGACCGATAATTATACTAAGCGGTGTATATCGAATAACCGTTCGTTAATCTCTAGTCGAATTAAAGAATAGCTAAGCAGCGGCGCTAGTGTATCGTGAAAGTCTAACTTATCTTAATTAGAGTCGCGCACTAAAACTTCGGGAATTCCCTACCTATTAAATATACTCATTAACGCTAGGAGATCTATCGACGCCAGCCGCTCCTAACGGATCTACTTAAACGATAGCTACTATATAGTAACTACCGTATACCGAATACTAGGATCGCGCCGGAGATCCGTAGAATCATCACTCTAGAGAAGCCGCGTCTACTTCGCCTCGCTCTTATAGAAAAGTCGAAGATAAGTAGCCACGGTAACGAGGGGTAACCGGTTAGCGATATAGGACCCCGCCTAAGTAATTACTAGCGGAATATATTCTAGTGCCTCGATTAGTGCCTTTTCGTCGTCTTTAGACCCGCTAGTATAGGCGGCCGGAATTCTAGCCTATAAAAGGACGAGGGACTCCGCCTTATTTATAGGTTAAACTATAATTATATAACTATCACTTCCTACTAGATTCCGCGCCGCGAGTCTATTTCGCGATATAATTAATATTAATCTATACGCGGCCTACGGTAGGAAGTTCACTAACGGCTCTCTATTATTAGACTTATTGCCGTTAAAAAATATACTATCGTTATCCGTATTATCTAGCACTATTAGCTAGCGCCTATTCCGTATATTATATAACTACTAATACACGAGCGGGAGGATATTTATCTTCGGATCGTCCCGTCCCGGAATTTCTACTACGGTAGTAATCTTCTAGTAACCCTATTCTAACCGGGCCGTATTACTAGCGTGAATCTAGAAGACCTATATATCCGGTATAGATTCTCGTATAAGATAGGAATACTCGATAGCTATCTAGGATTTTCTAAATAGTAATATCTAGGTATTAGCTATCGTTCCTTACGCTTTATTATAGGCGTAGCCTACCTAACGCCGCCTAATCCTACTAATACTACCCGCTTATAGCGCTAGCCGAGCGCCCTATATCTTTCCTTAATTATACGTATTATAGCTTTACGGCCTATAAATATCGGATCCTTCTTAAAAGGTACCGTAGATTATAATTAGGGCTTCGGACGCGCCTACGCTAAGAATATTCCCTATAAGCGTAGTAAAGAACCCCGGACTAAGTTACTTACTAAATCGAGCCGCTACTACTAATAGCGCGTCCTTAGAGAACTACCGTAGTTTATCTAGTACCGTTCGATACCCGGCCGCGTTCCGCGCGTCGAATTTAATAATTATCGAGTAATCCGTATATAACGGCACCTTATCCTCGACGTAGTCGGGAAGTTATAGAAGGGCCGAGTCTACGCTAACCGTCGTTATAAAATCCTTAGTACGTTTCCACCGTCCGCTATCCGAGTCCTATTACGATCGTTAGTGCATCTCGTAATAAAGGTATATATATCTCGTAGTGTGTTCTAGGTAAAGATAAATACGTACTAACTCTAACCGCCTCGTCTACTCCGTCTTATAGAAGCTAACTACCTTACGGTCCCAGATTAGGTTTTTAAAATCAGCTAATTAATAGATTAGTAGGTCTAATTTGCTAGAGATCTACTACAGTAACTATCCTCGCGGATAACGTCCGTCGCCGGCCAATATCTACTAGATATCGTCTATTACTAATCCTTTATATAGGATAGTAAAGAGGATCATACCGTATATAGCCTAATAGAGCGACGCGATCGCCGGGTGGTCTCCCTCTATCGTCTAGATAGCCCTTACGAGGCACTATTAATTAGTCATTATTAGTATATTATATCTAATATCTCTAATTAAATAGTAGTCCCATATAAGCCAAGATAATGCCTCCGAAGCTATATACGATAAAGATCAGAGGTCTCTGCTAGAGCTAGTCACCGAATTAGCTAAGTCTACTAATAATAGATAACTTAGATAGCGTCTCCTACCTCTCTCGTGTTCCGAATCTTCTTAATCGCCTTCATTAGCTCTCGCCCGTAGTCGAGGATCGTATCGACTCCGTGGCTCGATAGCTTCGAATTATACCCGTAGATCATCGTGCGGCACTACGGAAGATCCTTCGATAGGAAGTCCCGGAGCTATATCCGACCGAGATTTCCTCGTCCCTACCACGACCTATATACGTGTCTATCTAGTCCGGCGATCGTAATAATACTATATTGCATAAGCCAGGATCAATCTTCTCGGTATAGATCGCGGTACGGGTCCTTACTCGGTAACCACTACCTTATTCTCGTCTAGCGCGTAGAGCTACGTAAATCCAAAGAAGTAGTAGTTAAAGTTAATATTATCGTCCCCTATCTCAACCTACTAGTCGTTAAGCGGGTTAACTCTTAGTTTACTAAGGAACTAAGGTACCTCGCTACGAAATTATATTAGTGCCACTCTCTGCGTGTCGCTTTTATAGCATAAAGGCACTATAGTAATCTCAGCCTAGATCCGCGATCTCTCGTCGCCGGTGAGGTTACTATTTATTACCTCCTATAATACGGCCTTAAGTTCCTTATCGGGCCGTTCCCTCGATAGGCCCGTGACCCGGAAGGTATACGACTTTTTCCGGGTAGCCATCATGAATTATCTTCGCTCGAGTGGTGTATTAGATAAGAGGCAAATAGTGCGTTTTTATTGATAAGGTGTCACCTCAGCCTTACTGGCGAGGCTGAATCCACTAGCAGGTGCGGGGTATCGAGTATACACCTACTCTCATTTCGTAGGCCGGGAATGTAGGATTTCTAATTTGCTCTTAAGCCACTTTAAAGGAGAAAAGGCTTCACCGCTCTATACCGTGCCACTCTGTCTTTACTAAATTAAGTCTATTTCCCACGAAAGCTTATTGTCACAACCTTAACCCAGAGGCTTAGCACCACCTTCACGGTCTTTCCAAACATCACGTGCTGTCACTCAAACAACGATCAGGTTTGGTTTAGCTCCAGGCTAGCCGTATCTAGTTAGCTTCTAGAGCGAAGAAGGTTTACGTGAGCCCGCCTTCAAGGCAATCCGAAAAATGTTCAGTTCTTTAATTTCCTATTCCTAGGGGGGTCCTGTAGACCCCGAACTCCACGTGACCGATGACTCCAGGCAGCAAGCTGTGAGGTTTAACCGAAACCAACAAAACCACCGTTTAATTCAGACCTCGCCAGACGGTGTTGGTGAATACTACGGAATAGGCAATTTGCCTAAACGGTCGCATTCAAATTTGCTCAAACGTTGATGCCTAAGCATCACGTTCTCCTTTTCATGACCGCCCTTACTCCACTAACAATATTTACTATTCCGTTTATGGGTCAACGGTTATAAGGCGTGCTATGTAAGCTTGATTCTGAACCCTTCAGCTTGTTTGCCCACGCTGTATTTTAGAGGCTGTTAATAAAAAGTCATGTTCGTTCAGTTTAAATCATTACATTATGCGCCATCAACTATGCTCTAATAATAGTATTTAAATACAGAATTGATTTTCAACGGTCACACCCGTGAGATTTTTTGGCATTATGGATACCATCACCATTATTCGCGGAATCTGCAGGAATGAATTGTGATTATTTAACGCGCGACTATCAATTCAGTCTGGTAGATATATGAACAGTTATTAAGGATCCACTAGTCAGGTAAGTTCACCATCCTTAGATATCGTTATTAATAGGGTGGTGACGTTTGAGACAGAGATGCTGTAGCTTTTGGTTTTCTCAAGATTTTGATGAAATTCACTAAGTCCGACCGGTGAAAGATATTTCAAAATGGTCTCATTTAAGCTACGAGGTGAAAATAATAGAGTACTAATCTAAGAAAGATATAGTGACATATACTGGAATCCCCTTATTGCTAATATCCGTACAGTATAAGTTGCGGCATTTAGTCCGATACTTTCTCACAGTCTTGATGACTTGATTTCAAGCAGAAGAACGTTTGCAGTAAGCATACTGCGGTGAAAATACCCCCGATATCTCCCGCCTATAAATGTTAGAGGGGGACATCGTTCGTAGCCCTGTCGAGATCGACCGGGATCCCCGCATCGACCTTATAGCGTCGGGCCAATAACAAGCCTTATATTACCGATAAAGCCGCTAATTAGTAGTACCTCACTCCGCAAGAGGAGTAAGCGCTAGTAGAATATGTGTTACGGTTAGCGAACAACGGCTATCCGCTCCCTGTTAAGTTTCTCCGATCGCTCGCTCTAGTAATCGCGCGCTAACGATCCTCGAACTTCTAGATCTAAGATCCTAGCCTCGAGATTCGGCCTCCGGGAAAGAATTAGCCGTAGGGTTTTTACCTACGCCACCCGTAGTTAAAAGCGCGACGGCTACGAGCGATCGATTAGAAGCGAGATAATCGGCAGATCGAAGAGAAAGTCCGACACTGGTTTGCCGTTATTGGCGGAGAACTAGCTGATCCGGCTATCCTCCCGGAGAATATATATAACATAGACGAGACGGGAGTTCTTCTTAGCGTTCTTAACTCCCTTAAGGTGCTCGTCGGTAAAGACGATCTAAGAAAGTATCGAGGAACCACGGTAAAGCGGACGCTAGTCATAGCGGTTAAGTGTATCTCCGCCGATGGTTACTCCCTTTATCCTCTTATTATCTAGCTAGCCTCCACTCATCGTGGTTCGTGGACTACTTATGTCACCCCCGGATAGCATTTTGCCTGCTCCAAAACAGGCTATGCGAATACAGAAATTAGTCTATACTAGATAGAATATGTGTTCGATCCACAGACTAGAGAGCGGGCGGGCGATCGGCCACGACTCTTAATCTACGATGGTTTCGGTACCCACGAGTCTTTGGAGGTTATGAAATTCTGCTTTACTAACCGCATAATTCTGTGTCGTCTCCCTTCTTATACGTCTTATAAACTATAGCCGTGTGATGTAGGTGTTTTTGGTCCCCTGAAAACAGCATACCGGGCATAGGTTAAGCAGGCATACCGCGCTAGGGTAGGTACTATCGGTAAGCCACACTTCACCTATCTCTATAATCGCGCCCGAAAGGAGGCACTTACACCCCGGAATATACGATCCGCCTAGTCGAAAAGCGGCCTCTTTCTATTCGATCCATCTCGCGTTCTACGAGAGTAAGCGCCCTAACCCGAGATATAGACCATAGTCCCTTTGGACCCCCTAACCGTGTCCTTTAACCTCTGTCACACTCCAAACACTTCTGATTATTTTGCTTTGCTTTACAGCGAGGTGAAAAAAGACACCTAGAATCTAGACGAAGCGTGTAAACATCGTCTATAGATATTGAGCCGCGCGGCCGAAAAGGTCTTTACGGAACGCGCCTTATTGCTAGAGGAGAACCTCATCCTGTTTAAGCAGAATAACGAAATAACCTGTCGACAATCCACTGGTCAGACGGTCATAGGACATGCAAAAGTCATGAGATATGAAGATATCGTTAAGGCGCAGAAGAAACGCGATATGACGGCGGCGAAACAGAACCTTATGCGGAAAAAGAGACCGAAAGCCGGGGGCCGTTCGGTCACCAAATCGGAGGAGAAGCGCAAAGCTAAGTAGGAGATCCAAGCGTGGAACCTACGTGATTATTACTCGGTTTTAAATTTATAGACTTATTCTAGATGTTAGAGAATTTCCTATATTTCAATCAACCATTTTGCGGAAGTGAATTAAAGGTTCCTACGGCTGGCGTTCGTGTTACATATATCTCTCCCTACTCGCATGTCGTTATTTTCTCCGTATAATTAGCTCAAAATACAGTAGCCTAAGCTATCGAAACCTCGTTCTGCCGTTACGGATAGCAATTATCGTGTTTTTTCGACAGACTTACCGTTAACTACGCTGTCTGTAAATGTGACCTATACTCTACAGGGCTGGTTAAGTCAGACAGCATAGCGTTCCCGTGAGGCTGAGGTCCCAAAGGCCCCCCACAAGTCTGGTCATAGACCCCGCTATTTTAAGACAAATTTTATCAAGAATTTCAATCTTGTTGATCGCTTCTTCTCAACAGCCGGCATCTTCCTAACCTTGATCCACAATTATAAATCTTGCGTTTTCACAAAATGTCAACATACAGCGAAATCTCTTTATTGCTATGTCCCTTCCACAAAGACGATCAGCTCAATAGTGAGCTCGACACATCGCTTGATCATTTACCAGGTCATCCCCGGGTCAAACTTAGCGATCATAAAAGCTTGTTTCACTTCATTCGCCGGGAGGTCTAGTCAGAAGACCTCGAATCGATATCGGACAGACTTTGGTGGATGTCGAAGCAGGACAGCGCTAATATCTCTCCGTTACACCGACAGCGAGTGAAGGGCCGACAAATCATAGTTAGCGAGGATCCTCGATTATATCTCATCTAGATCGACGACCGAATTTTCCTTAAACCCCTTCCCTAGTATATAACGTCACACGCATTCTGGGATACATTTATGAGCGATCCGTCTCAACATGGTGGGACGGCAAAGCTCCGAAAGGCCGCGCTTGGGTATCTACGAACTTATTTCTACCTAATTCAGTATGAATCAGATTTACGAGTCGCACAAGATCCGGCTCTCTGTCTGGTTCCTAAAGAAGTGACATGGTCTCGATTCTGCCACTTCACTGCCCGTTTCAAAAACATCGCAGAAAATGAAGTTTCGGGCCGATATCATTATGGGGAGATCCGATTAACCCGACTGAACTATTATGCGCCGATTCTTTTAGGAAAAAGCCATTACCAGCGTGAGAACTATCAGTATCGAGCGTATTTTGCTCGAATCCAAGGGCCCTTGATATCTGTATTTGCTTTCTTTTCGATTGCCCTGAACTGTATGCAGGTCAGCCTCGCAGCATCTTCTTCCGATGAGGGATATTCGAGTGCTTGGTTGGTTTTAGGTTGCTACTGGCTCAGCACATTGACCGGATCTGCGACCGGCTTCCTTATGCTGCTGTTAGTATTTCTTTTCCTTTTCAAAGTGATTAAGGAGTGGAAGTTTGCGATAGCGTATCGGCTACGGCGGAAAAACAATCTATAGGCAAGACTAGAGAGCTATGTGTAACGCGTAATTTGACATTTTCAGGATTCAGGATATATTATTTATCGCGCGATAGATTAGTATTTGTTATTCGTAATTAGCCGCTTACAGTAATAAGGTCTGTTCTTATCATGTCTCCGAACGCATTAAATATTACTAAGCTTGACCGTATTGCCAAGAACGATATCTGGATAATGCTGATTTTACTACCTCGTGCTTATGGATCCCTTACGAGGGTTGAGCTACTGCCCAGACTTGAATAAAGATAGTATTTGAAAGCTATTGTCATTTCCCACATCTCTATCAAGTGCATTTAAGATTGACCGTCATGACGTCCATTTGAATTATTGAACAACAAGTAGAGATCGAATATGCTGATATAAGCAAAACATTTTTAAACAGCCTTTAACTTGAGTAGATAGCACGGCCATCTTGATGAAACCAAATATGATCATTGGTCTTTAACAGCCGAGCGAATCAATTAAAATTTACCGGAAGCCAAATTGATTTTCACTAGGACCGTTTGACGAAATATAAGTTAACTTAAACGGTCGTTTGGGTGGTTTTGGTTGATCCCACATCTTGCTGCCTGGAGTCATCGGTCACGTGGAGTTGGGGGTCTACGAGATCCCCCGAGGAACAGGAAATTGAAGAACTGAAATTTTTTCAGATTGCCTTAGAGGCGAGCTCGCGTAAACTTTCTTCTCACGTAGCGCTATAGTAAATGTAAGTAGCCCCAAGCTAACCCTAATACGATCTTTGTTTGAGTAAAGCACGTGATTTTATGGAAGACTGATAGAAGAGGTGCCAAGCCTCTGAGTTAAGGTTTTGATACTAAGCTTTTATCGGAAAATTAGACTTCAGAAAAGACCGGCAGAATGGTACTGTATATCTCGGTGAAGCATTTTCTCAATGTTGAAGGGAGTTTCTTTTGATACAGTATACAGTGGTATCGCCGACGTGATAGACACAATGACTGTTAGTGCATACTCGATACCCCGCACCTGCTAGTGGATTCAGCCTCGCCAGCAAGGCTAAGGTGACACCTCATTAACAAAAACGCACTATTTGCCTCTTATCTGATGCACCACTCGAGCGAAGACAATTCATGATGGCTACCCGGAAAAAGTCGCATACCTTCCGGGTCACGGGCCTGTCGAGGGAACGGCCCGATAAGGAACTTAAGGCCGCACTATAGGAGGTAATAAACAGCAACCTCACCGGCGACGAGAGATCGCGGATCTAGGCTGAGATAACTATAGTGCCTTTATGCTATGAAAGCGACACGTAGAGAGTGGCACTAATGTAATTTCGCAGCGAGGTACCTTAGTTCCTTAGTGAACTAAGAGTTAACCCGCTTAACGATTGGTAGGTTGAGATGGGGGACGATGATATTAACTTTAACTGCTACTTCTTTAGATTCACGTAGCTCTACGCGCTAGACGAGAATAAGGTAGTAGTTACCGAGTAAGGACCCGCACCGCGATCTACACCGAGAAGATTAATCCTAGCTTATATAATATAGTATTATTACGATCGCCGGACTAGATAGACACGTATATAGGTCGTGGTAGGGACGAGGAAATCTCGGTCGGATATAGCTCCGGGACTTCCTATCGAAGGATCTTCCGCAGTACCGCACGATAATCTACGGGTATAATTAGACTGCGGCATATCCTCTCTATTGGATATTGGGTCACATACCATATCCGCACATTGAGGATAACGGACATTACTTTAATACTATATCCTTAATAAGGATATCCATGGATATCCGCGAGGATATGAGGATATCTTGCGGATATCCGCACTAGTATAATTCTCGCTTAATTATCTACTTATAGGTAGTTATGTGCCCCTTATGTAGCTTATCAATCCAATTTTCAGATCAAAAAATACACATATTCGGTCCTGACCATACTAACGATATCATTTATTCTGTTCCTTAATAGAATATTAAGAAATCGTCTTAGATTAAGTAACATTTCCCGCCTTACTATTACTCGTAGTATCAATTTTTTTTTCAAGATATACTGAACGATATAGCCGAGATTTTGTTGTTCATGGCACTTTACCACGGAAATATATATTTACTTCAGCCATCAATGTCGGGTATCTGAACTATTCAAGCATATAAGATAAAAATCCCTATTTCTCGGTCGAATCTATTAAATCCGACATAAAATAACCGGCCTTAGCATACTTTGAAGTTGACAGATCCTAGTGTATCGGGGCTAATCCACATAGGACGAAAAGGGACTAGGTAGTAGCTTCCTCTTAGTCATAGGATCCTACTGTCTAGGAAGGGAAAGAAGGTCTTAAGAACAATAAAGTCGATTGAACTGCTGGCTAAATAGTGGTGTAAACGAGCGTTTAAATACACGATTTGCAGTGGTTTAGGCAGCAGGGAAATAGGGCAGAGATCTAATAATCTAATAGATCTTAATACAGGATAGAAATGTGCAGAAAGGACGTCGGGATCCTTAGTCAAATAGCCAATTAGGCCATGGTCGATATCTCTGTTAAAGAGATGCATATAGAGGGGCTTTCTGCAGGGGAAAAACAATGGTCCGGCCCGGCAGGCTGCCGGGCCCTCAGGCAACACATAAGCACACACACATAAGCATATACCCCCACACACCTATATAGGCTGACAGAAGTATATTAATTTCTTAAACTAGCTTATCTCGTAAAAGTATAGCGAAATCCCGGTCGGAAATTATCATTCTATAGACAGTGATTCCATTTTCTCTCTGAAAATTAGTATCCGAGGACAATTAAGGATATCCGCGGATATCTTGTGGATATCCACACAGATATCCTTAATTATCCTCAGATATCCACACTAGTGATTAGTAATAGCNATCGCCGGACTAGATAGACACGTATATAGGTCGTGGTAGGGACGAGGAAATCTCGGTCGGATATAGCTCCGGGACTTCCTATCGAAGGATCTTCCGCAGTACCGCACGATAATCTACGGGTATAATTAGACTGCGGCATATCCTCTCTATTGGATATTGGGTCACATACCATATCCGCACATTGAGGATAACGGACATTACTTTAATACTATATCCTTAATAAGGATATCCATGGATATCCGCGAGGATATGAGGATATCTTGCGGATATCCGCACTAGTATAATTCTCGCTTAATTATCTACTTATAGGTAGTTATGTGCCCCTTATGTAGCTTATCAATCCAATTTTCAGATCAAAAAATACACATATTCGGTCCTGACCATACTAACGATATCATTTATTCTGTTCCTTAATAGAATATTAAGAAATCGTCTTAGATTAAGTAACATTTCCCGCCTTACTATTACTCGTAGTATCAATTTTTTTTTCAAGATATACTGAACGATATAGCCGAGATTTTGTTGTTCATGGCACTTTACCACGGAAATATATATTTTCTTCAGCCATCAATGTCGGGTATCTTAACTATTTAAGCATATAAGATAAAAATCCCTATTTCTCGGTCGAATCTATTAAATCCGACATAAAATAACCGGCCTTAGCATACTTTGAAGTTGACAGATCCTAGTGTATCGGGGCTTATCCACATAGGACGAAAAGGGACTAGGTAGTAGCTTCCTCTTTGTCATAGGATCCTACTGTCTAGGAAGGGAAAGAAGGTCTTTAGAACAATAAAGTCGATTGAACTGCTGGCTAAATAGTGGTGTAAACGAGCGTTTAAATACACGATTTGCAGTGGTTTAGGCAGCAGGGAAATAGGGCAGAGATCTAATAATCTAATAGATCTTAATACAGGATAGAAATGTGCAGAAAGGACGTCGGGATCCTTAGTCAAATAGCCAATTAGGCCATGGTCGATATCTCTGTTAAAGAGATGCATATAGAGGGGCTTTCTGCAGGGGAAAAACAATGGTCCGGCCCGGCAGGCTGCCGGGCCCTCAGGCAACACATAAGCACACACACATAAGCATATACCCCCACACACCTATATAGGCTGACAGAAGTATATTAATTTCTTAAACTAGCTTATCTCGTAAAAGTATAGCGAAATCCCGGTCGGAAATTATCATTCTATAGACAGTGATTCCATTTTCTCTCTGAAAATTAGTATCCGAGGACAATTAAGGATATCCGCGGATATCTTGTGGATATCCACACAGATATCCTTAATTATCCTCAGATATCCACACTAGTGATTAGTAATAGCCAATCATCGCTATTAAAAGCTAGAGATATATCGAAAACGCGCCCGCGACTCGCGACTTGGTAGGCATACCCCTGATATTTTTAGCTGGTCATATATGTATGTGTTTCTCTCTCTCTTCATCTATTAGCCTGTCTCTAGGTAATTTGTATCAAGCACAATATGTCTTACTCATAGGTATCTTAGTCCCACTACTCCTTCTATGCTGATTCAGATCTAGGTCTGAATCCTGATCTACTTTATTTAGATAATATCTCCGATCTTTTTAGCAGCTAAACTCTATTGACACCTATTTTAAAGGACTTATCTCCGACTGCACCTCTCTCGCTTCCTCGTGTTGGTCCCCCTCTTTAGCAATACTGGGTCCTCTACTCCCCCGAGCTAAGTAGCGATATGGATGAATCCCGGAAGAGCTTTGTAAGGTGGTGGTTAACCATAGAGTTTGGATCGAAGCCTAATATATAAGACTCTATCCGTTGGGATAGGAAAAAGACGTCTAATGTCTGGGATAACTTTAATTAGGTTGCACATGAGAAGACCGGTAAGCCAAAGGTTATATGTATAATATGTCTCTATACCCTTGTTCATCTAAGATATCGCCGTGCTAGGTCATCGCCAATGAATGCACATATTAAGGTAGGCTTATATACTCGGAAGCCTACCCAGAGGATTGATTAGCTTCTTAAATAGATGGTATGTTATTTATCTATAATCTAGATTCTTAATATTTCTCTTACTAATATTTATCTACTATCTAAAAGCTAAGTCTCCTATAAAGTCTACCCTTCTCCTAGGAGCGTTTAGCAAAAGCGATATTAGACTTTATCTCTGCCGCTTACCTACCTTTCCGCATTATTAAGCATACCTAATTCAAGAGCCTAGTGGAGGTTATTTAGTAAGCCCTAAGTAAGGTTAATATCCCCTCTGCGCGAAGTATACGGCGTTATCTTGACTCTGTAGTTAAGAGTAACTAGAAGGAGGTTCTTGGAAGGCTTCTAGATAGGAGTCGCCTTTTAATAGCGCTCGATTGCTGGACATCACCATTCTAGTAAGCATTTATGGCTATTATAGGTTACTTCCTCGACCAGGATTAGAATTACTGTGAAGTTCTTCTTGGATTTGAGCATCTTTACGGATCACATACTAGTGAGAATCTAAGTAAAACTGTGATTCAGCTTCTAGCCAATCATAGGATCACCGACCGCGTATTATCTATGACCACAGATAATGCAACTAATAATAACTCCTTGATGCTGAATGTCCAAGAGACTATCCAGTCACAAAGTCGATCGGATACCTTAATCTTCCGAGTCCCATGTATTGCGTATGTGATCCAATTAAGCTTAAATGAGCTTCTTAGGAAGCTGAAAGTGACACCACATAATAAAGAGATTGAGCTGGAGTGGTCTGATGAACGAACCCACTCGTTTCAGACTAAACGATCTAGCTCATCTAAACAAATTACGGATACATTGAAGAAGGTAAGTTCCTATTATTCTAGATACTTTTAAGTCAATTCTAATTAGAAAGTTTAAGATCCGAGGTCTAGCAGTCTTTATCAATGCAAGCCCACAACGCCGGGAGGCATTTATGGCTCTGCAAACCAAGGAGTCTCCTTTAATCCCTATTTAGGATGTCCAAACGCGATGGAACTCAAGCTTTATGATGCTCAATCGGGCCAAAAGGCTACAGCCATTCTACGATCAGTATTGTACAGATCATCAATATCTCCACTTCAAACTTGATCACGAAGAGTGGCGGCAGATTGAATATCTTCTTCTTCTTACAAAGCCTTTCTTTGACTTCACCAACATGTTATCAAAGACCAGAGATATTACTGCACATAATATCTATAGTATTTATAATAAGCTTTTCTCTCATCTTGATGAAGCTGAGAGTAAGTTGAAGAATAAAGGAGTTATCTGGAAGAAGCGTATGCTCCAGGCTCTTCAGACTGCAAAAAGGAAGCTCTCAAAGTATTATACTGCTACTGATCATGAATCATACGGCGATGTTTATGCACTAGCAACGATTCTTTGCCCATCAAAGAAACTTCGATATTTTGCATTAACAGACTGGCAAGGTGAAATTGACTACGTGAAACACTATCATGGAGTCCTTAAGCGAGAGTTTCATCAATACAAAGAGATACTTCGCCGTGATTCAGATACTGTGGTCTTACAAGATGCCACTAGAGAGGCCCTAGATGACGATGATTGTGATCTCGATGCTGCTTGTGCTTCTCAAAATCAGCCATAGGAAGAGCTCTCAAAGTCTGAAGACGACGAGATTGCGAGGTATCTTGCCCGGGGAATTGAGAGACAGAAGCCCCGAGCATTCTGGAAAGAGCATGAGCATGAGTTCCCTATTCTTGCAAGGATGGCACGGGATATTCTCTCGATCCCAGCTAGTGGCGCAGGCGTTAAGCGATTATTCAATTACGCTCGTGATATCTGCCACTATCGTCGTGGTCAATTAAAACCAAGTACGATCCGAGAACTGATGCTTCATCAGTTCGCCACCAACTTTGAGGTTGAGCAGAAGGAGATGGAGGTTATCAAGGAGCATCTTTCTGCCGGGGAAGCCGCATTGTTAGATCAAGCTCGGAAACCAATGCCCCAGCTTGAAACTCTTGAGCCAATTAGTGACAACGAAGAGGAAGATCAAGAGCTTAGCATTGAGGATACACAACTAATAGAAAGCTACGATGAGAATTCAGATGGTGGGAGGGCTGATGGAAGTAAGCAACTACAGTGTAAACGATCAAAGAGACGATTGTCTGAGGCATTTGATGGCGATGATGATGGCCTTCCAGAAATGCCAATACATGAGGGCATACAAGGACGGTCGGGGCGGATTCGGAAGCAACCAAGGTTACCTGACGGATTTCAGATTGATTTAAGATAGACCATATAGTGTGAAGATAATAATATTATGTCTACGAAATTAAAACCTTCGATAATTAATTATTACACTGTGATTACTTGAAAAATACAAAGGAGTCCGCATAAGTAATGCATACTCAAAAAGGTCACGAGGCTGGGCATGTTTGGCATCTTTGATATCCACTGGATATCCTTAAATATCCAGAGGATATCGGGTGCTATACCATATCCATAAATTTGAGGATTGAGGATGTTCGGTGACATACCATATCCACAGTTTGCGGAGAGGATATGCGGATATCCATAGATATTGAGGATGTTACCGTAGTCTAGGTATAATTCGAAGCTATCGAGCCACAGAGTCGATACGATCCTCGACTACGGGCGAGAGCTAATAGAGGCGATTAAGAAGATTCGGAACACGAGAGAGGTAGGAGACGCCATCTAAATTATCTATTATTAGTAGACTTAGCTAATTCGGTGATTAGCTCTAGTAGAGACCTCTAATCTTTATCGCACATAGCTTCGGAGGTATTATCTTAGCTTATATAGGACTACCATCTAATTAGAGATATTAGACATAACATACTAATAACGACTAATTAATAGTGCCTCGTAAGGGCTATCTAGACGATAGAGGGAGACCACCCGGCGATCGCGTCGCTCTATTAGGCCACGTACGGTATAATCCTCTTTACCATCCTATATAAAGGATTAGTAATAGACGATATCTAGTAGATATTAGCCGGCGACGGACGTTATCCGCGAGGATAGTTACTATAGTAGATTTCTAGTAAATTAGACCTACTAATCTATTAATTAGCTAACTTTAAAAACCTAATCCGGGACCGTAAGGTAGTTAGCTTCTATAAGACGGAGTAGACGAGGCGGTTAGAGTTAGTACGTATTTATCTTTACCTAGAACACACTACGAGATATATATACCTTTATTACGAGATGCACTAACGATCGTAATAGGACTCGGATAGCGGACGGTGGAAACGTACTAAGGATTTTATAACGACGGTTAGCGTAGACTCGGCCCTTCTATAACTTCCCGACTACGTCGAGGATAAGGTACCGCTATATATAGATTACTCGATAATTATTAAATTCGACGCGCGGAACGCGGCCGGGTATCGAACGGTACTAGATAAACTACGGTAGTTCTCTAAGGACGCGCTATCGGTAGTAGCGGCTCGATTTAGTGAGTAATTTAGTCTAGGGTTCTTCACTACGCTTATAGGGAATATTCTTAGCGTAGGCGCGTCCGAAGCCTTAACTATAATCTACGGTACCTTTTAAGAAGGATCCGATATTTATAGGCCGTAAAGCTATAATACGTACGATTAAGGAAAGATATAGGGCGCTCGGCTAGCGCTATAAGCGGGTAGTATTAGTAGGATTAGGCGGCGTTAGGTAGGCTACGCCTATAATAAAGCGTAAGGAACGATAGCTAATATCTAGATATTACTATTTAGAAAATCCTAGATAGCTATCGAGTATTCCTATCTCGTGCGAGAATCTACACCGGATATATAGGTCTTCTGGATTTACGCTAGTAATACGGCCCGGTTAGAATAGGGTTACTAGAAGATTACTACTATAGTAGAAATTCCGGGACGGGACGATCCGAAGATAAACATCCTCCCGCTCGTGTATTAGTGGTTTATGTAATACACGGAATAGGCGCTAGTTAATAGTACTAGATAATACGGATAACGATAGTATGTTTTTTAACGGTAATAAGTCTAATAATAGAGAGCCGTTAGTGAACTTCCTACCGTAGGCTGCGTATAGATTAATATTAATTATATCGCGAAATAGACTCGCGGCGCGGAATCTAGTAGGAAGTGATAGTTATATAATTATGATTTAACCTATAAATAAGGCGGAGTCCCTCGCCCTTTTACGGGCTAGAATTCCGGCCGCCTATACTAGCGGGTCTAAAGACGACGAAAAGGCACTAGTCGAGGTACTAGAATATATTCCGCTAGTAATCACTTAGGCGGGGTCCTATATCGCTAACCGGTTATCCCTCGTTACCGTGGCCACTTATCTTCGACTTTTCTATAAAAGCGAGGCGAAGTAGACGTAGCTTCTCTAGAGTGATAATTCTACGGATCTCCGGCGCGATCCTAGTATTCGGTATACGGTAGTTACTATATAGTAGCTATCGTTTAAGTAGATCTATTAGGAGCGGCCGGCGTCGATAGATCTCCTAGCGTTAATAAGTATATTTAATAGGTAGGGAATTCCTAAAGTTTTGGTGCGCGACTCTAATTAAGATAAGTTAGACTTTCACGATACACTAGCGCCGCTACTTAGCTATTCTTTAATTCGACTAGAGATTAACGAACGGTTATTCGATATATACCGCCTAGTATAATTATCGGTCCGGGTATAGTTAGTAACGTACTAGTAGCTCTATAGCTAGCAGACGAAATCGCGAGGGATTATAGCACGGGTATTTCTAGATAGCGACTACGAAAGCTAGACGTAATATAGATCGCTTCTTATATATACGAAAAGTATATTATAGTCTCTACTTAACGTAGATAATAAAGATCGATTAAATACCGCTACCCTCTTATCTAATTATAGATAGTTTCTTAGTCTTTAAGGAGCTTACGAAGAGGCAGAAGTAATATAGCGGTAGGGATTAGAAGCACGAGAGATAGTCCTTAGACGCGAGCATCCCGACACGCTTACCGGTATTAGTAACCTTAGCTATATACTCTATAGCTAAGGGGAATATAAGGAGGCGGAAGCGATACATCGACGGGCGTTAGAGGCACGAGAGAACGTGCTTAGACGCGAGCATCCCTCCACGCTTATCAGTGTTAGTAACCTTAGCTATATACTCGATAGCTAAGGGAAATATAAAGAGGCGGAAGCGATGTATCGACGGGTACTAGAAGCACGAGAGAAGGTGCTTAGACGTAAGCATCCCGACACACTCAGTAGTGTCAGTAACCTTAGTAATATACTTTACAGCTAAGGAAAATACGAAGAGGCTAAAGCGATACATCGACGGGTGCTAGAAGCACGAGAGAACGTACTTAGACGCGAGCATCCCTCCACGCTCACCAGTGTTAACAATCTTACTAATATACTTAATAGGTAAGGGAAACATAAAGAGGCTAAAGCGATATATCGACGGGCGTTAGAAGCACGAGAGAACGTACTTAGACACGAGTATCCTAATACGCTTATCAATACCAGTAACCTTAGTAGTGTACTTAACCACTAAGGGAAGTATAAAGAGGCGGAAGTAATACACCGACGGGCGCTAGAAGCACGAGAGAAGGTACTTAGACGCGAGTATCCTAACACGCTCACTAGTATTAATAATCTTACTAATGTGCTTAATAGGTAAGGGAAACATAAAGAGGCTAAAGCAATACACCGACGGGCGCTAGAAGCACGAGAGAAAGTGCTTAGGCGTAAGTATCCTAACACGCTTATCAATGCTAGTAACCTTAGCAGTGTGCTTAACCACTAAGGGAAGTATAAAGAGGCGGAAGCGATACATCGACGGGCGCTAGAAGCATAAGAGGAGGTGCTTAGACGTAAGCATCCTAACACGCTCGCCAGTGTTAATAACCTCGGTAAATTACTCTCTAAGCGAGGGAAACATAAATAGGCGGAAGTAATGCATCTATAGGCGTTAGAAAGGTGTGAGAAGCTACTCGGCCGCGAGCATCCTAATACGCTCATCATTATCAATAAACTTAGCTCAGTCCTTAATAGGCAATAGAAATCTACATAGGCGTAGGCGATATATTAATAGGCGCTAGAAGCACGACATAAGATATTTATACGTAAGCAATCTTACTTTACGCTTAGCCTCGACGTTCTTTAGACTTTATCGATCAACACAGGAACACGAAGATCCTTAATTCTAGATTGTGCCTATAGTATATAGTGTAGAGGCAGCATATATATCAATCTGATATCTTAACTTTATAAACCACGTTTATTCCTATTTATCCTCATAGGTAGATCCACCGGACTTATGTTCTATTATAGGTTAGTAGGCCATGTCCCATATACGGACAAGTTAAGGTGTGGCTGTTCACTAAGTGGCGCTAGTACTTTCTATATAATACGTTATATGCTTGTTTTTATCCTATGTATTCGCATTATTAGTATTTTTATTTCATATACCTTTCTAGTGCTAAGACTTTCACCATCTTAGTATGCTCTAAGGTAATATGATTATGATATATTCGGAAATCGTTTTTGGGCGAAAGGTAGACGAATGGATGGCACAGTTCCTTTCTTACCTATCGTAGGTGTTGTGGTTGATGATCTTAGCGTGATAGTAGTCAACAGCGGCCTTTCTAGCAGTGCGTCTCGGTCTATAATTCCCCACGTTAACATTTTGTAATCCCTATTTAAAAAGAGCTATCAATAAAGCATTTGATGATTGATGTTTGTGCAGCTTTCAGGCAATATTCAAGACGTGTATTGACGGTGACGGACCTCCAATGTGCAGGTACCTAGTGGGCGTTTCATCACACAGGGCATTTCATGTTACCGGGATGGGGGTTATTCCATAGTTGATGCATTTTTAAGGGAAACTGCCTACACATACGACAACAGGGTTGTGGTAGTCTGGGTTCGGCCTTCTCAGCCAGCGAAAATGAGCTCTGGTAGACTGTTGGTACTGCGCGGACGGGTGGGGCTGGCCTGACGCGAGAGGTTGCGGGGTCTCAGCCACGGAATTAATCCCCAGTGATCCGCACTTGAATTTCCTGACCTAGACAAATAAACGGAGGGTCAGAGCACTGTCCCCTCTCTCTGGCGCCGTTTCCTTTCGACTTCGATTGAGATAGCGGGTAGGCGGACAATCATCGAAGGGCCCAGACCTAGTCTCCTGTCTGGCATTCGATAGACCGTGCGGCTGTAGCAGTTCGCTCTTATCTATGGGGAATATTCGACATTGCTATACATCCTCACGTGGCGCTGAACATAGTGGTTACGGGCAAAATCTTCTGCGTCTCTGTGAGTATTGCATATGAATTTAAAAGGAAATATACAGTACTCTCTACTGATACGTACGACCGTACATCGGCAGACATTGTTGTTTATCGAAGGAGCCGAAAGGGTGTGTAAAATTCCATCCAGGGCCCCGTTTTAGGATCTCAGTTCTGTTGGATCCAACAAGCAGCGGTAATATGGAACAGCATTAATGCCTAGTTAGGGCGCGTGCAGGCGCCACTGGTATGGATGGTTCTTTACTCTGCGGCGATCTTCCGGGAGGTTCCCTTCCCGGCCTTTTAGTTCTAGTGTTAGGACTTTATCTACCATTCAGAGCATGGCAGCGAATACAGTTGGTAGGTGACCAATCAAAGGTGGATATCTGAGAAATACGGCGTCTTCGTTCCATCAGCGCTTTATACACAGAGGGCGCCTGTGCTGAGCGGGCTCTACCAGGTGCCGTTAGGAAATAACCAACCAATAATATTGTGCCTACCTGCCTCGATTGACGCGTCAGACGGTATGAAAATACACAATTACTCGACAGTAATGATGAGAAACAAGAATTATTAGATAACGAACATGGGTGTCTCTACCCATGCCCTGAACTGACAATATCGTTCACCACTTCCCAAGGACCTAATCAAATATCTTCCAAAGTTTCTCTGGCACGGGATGCTGTCGTCCCCGTTAGAGGGAAAACATCCCCACTAGAGCATCATCTGGCCCAAAATTAGCTCCAATCCAGATTATCCGGCTGGCTTATCCTTATACTTACATGATCGCCGTTGGCCTCGGGTTAGAGATTCCTCAGGATGAAAGTGCTGGAACAGTTGGCGAGCCTGAGGATCTAGAGCCCTCAGATTTAGGGCTGGTGGCGAGTTTGGGCTGCTAGGTATAAGTGTCGGTCGTTGGTGCCCTACAGCTTAAGCTTTCTTGCGGTGAAGTTTAGACAGTCTTGCAGAGATTGAACGCCGCCGGTAGATCCCTTTTACGAGTTGATTGTATTTTCCACGTATCGATTCTGGTCCGCGTGCAATACCAGTATCACGATGATATTCTTTCGATTTCTTCTTCCACGTCAAGTGCTGGTGTCGAGATAGCCAGTCTCGCAGGTTTTGCTCTTCTGGTGGAGACCATGGGATGTAGTTAGCTTTAGACATGATAGGAGCAACGAGGGGAGACAAGCAGGCTGCGATGGAAGGTTGCTGGCAAACCTAGTTCTTGGTGGATGAAACGAGATCAGGAAACGGAAGGGTGGGAATTTATATTATTTTTGAACGGCTTGAACTCATGCCGAGGAGACATACCAGTTAAGATGATTGGCCTTAGCCTTAAAAGATGCTGTTGGTCTCCGTCAAAATTACACGATTCAACTTTCCCCCACCACTTCTAAAATGTTGATTATGTGACTATGCAATTTGAAATATCCAGGAAAACAAGCCACCAACTCTCCTCCGAGTCCATGCCCCTGTTCAAAACCCGTTCCTGTCCGGGCACGGCAACACCCTGGTCTCTCAGTGGGGCTAGCAAAGTCGATTTGATTGAAAGTAACACCGGAGTTGCATCACATCATGGAAGGGTGGTTTTAAACAGACTTGAATGTCCATTGAATGTAGACAGAGCAAATTTGCGACGATAATCTTGCCTAGCCGAGACCAGGCAGAAGAAAGCCGAACTAGTCCTTGCTCTATCTGAAGGGACATCTGGGTGTATATGCCTTCTTCATCAACCAAAAGGTGACTCCCAAGTCATCCATCCAGCGACGTAGGGTCCTGATCTAGACTAGTGGAGAAGATATTCGGGGAGGGCTCAGATTTCTGGGGTACAGAAGTACAGAAAGTGTTTAATGCTACCATGCCTGGGTATATATTAGACATTTACCCTCCAGAGCGGGAGTGCTGGAATAAACACCACTATATACTTCCAGTTCCATAGCTCCTCCACCAGATTACGAGCCCAGCATAGCTCCAGCCGCGTTTGCAGCTGCTTGGCGCGAGAAGTTCAGGTCGGAACAACGGCACGGTTCCTCTATTTACAGTCTTCCCGATAATGATTGTCCTTTCGACTATGACGACCAACCACTGCACAATAATGCTGAAAATGTGACTGAGAATGACGTTGGCCGCCAACGTACTGAAAGCAACGAATGGGTCGCGGGGTCTCCCAGCTTAGCTTTGTCCGACTTAGACAACCTGGAACAACACTCCCCCCAGGTGTCCATAGCACTGGCTGGTACATTCATGCGGCAGTAAGTCAAACCAGCCTTCGCCCAACTTGTTCCTCACTCACAGTCATGTAGATTGGATAACCAAGTGCAGTGAGTCAGATCTCCATGCTACTTCCGACACAAAAGTCTACAAGGCGTTCTGACGACGGGTGTCTAGGGCGATGGACGAGCAGATCAAGCAGCAGGATGTCTGGAATAACCACATGCAACAACAGATGGAGACCATTATGGAACGCTACCAGAGACTAGATGCCCTGGAAGAAAAAGTGGCGGGGCTGCAAGCAAAGCTGGATGTTGTGTGCGGTAATAAGGAAGGGGCAAATGAAGGACGTAGATCAGGTGGCCGCAGACGCCAGGCACCGTGAAGCCTGCACCATATCCCCTCAATGTCATAACGTGATTCAAGCCAAACGCAAGACTCTTTAATCATCCGTTCCATATTTCTAGTGGCTATACACTATCCGTAAAGCTACTATCAGCATATCAGTGCTCCTTCAGCAAGGAGTTAAGAGTGGTAAATGTAGCGGTTGATTACCCGTAAACTTAATCGCCTAGCGATCTGCTGCGATCCGCAACAGTCTCATGCTAGGCACCATCCTATCCTAAGAGGGGCACGAGTACGGAGGCCACAGCATAGAGAGGTATTTTGTTACTCCCGTGACCGATAGTCAGGGGTGCTACCTCTAACACAGTAATTTTGGTTATTGCAGACTCCTTGCATGGCAGATTCTGTTATGTAACGTTATGAAATAATGTGTATCTAAAGACGGCTAATGGGCTTTCTATTGGCGCGAGATCCTCAATCATACCCACGTAATATTGAATAATTAGAAAAGCATTTCGAGGGCAAAGTAGGCTCGCGGCAAATTCTTGGGCAGACGAATGAATCCCTGCTCCCTCGTCCATCCTGCCCCGTTCCGTGATCACGGGTTGTTCGCGATCCGGAGCTCGGCAATGCTCGTCTGAAATTACCCCTTTAGATATATATCTGACTGTGCTTAGGTTAGCGCGATTACTAGGTAGGGACTAGCAATAAGCGAATATTTTTTGGGTTGGAGGGGGGAAGGGGAAGGATACAGAGCCACGATCTAATTGGTTCAATAAAGGAAAGGTAGTTTTTGTCATTAGGTGGTGCTCTTTCATTTTCGAATCGCTAATAAAGCCAACAATCCCTGATTCAGACGCCTAGATAATACTCTCGGCTAGGTACTGTTCTTTTACGGGCGAATTTCATACAGTACCCTATAGCGCTCCTACCGGGGTTTAGTATATAATTAGTGAATGTGATAAGTGGAATGCTTTACCGTTAGAGGATTCATAAATCCTTTACGCTCGCGCTAGGAGGGTAGATCCTATAAGTCACCCGGGAGTAACGGGAGGTCTAACTAGGTAGGTTTCCTACCTTATAGGGTGTAGCGTTAGGTGTAAGTCCCCTACGCTCGAGATAGTGCGATTAATCGGCGAGGGTACTATATAGTAATTTAAAGTCGATACGGATTTTCCTCCTATCGGTATGTTTCGAATATAATATAAATAGATATAGTAGTATCATACGATTAGAAGCTTCGCCTATACGGAGTAATTAAGGCCTATATATACTTAAGCTAATAACTAGATACGTTAATATTCTAAAAGATTAGCTTATCCTCGAGAGGGCCCTAACTTACGGATAGGAACTTTAAGTAGCTACGAAAGCTTCCTAGAAAATTTTACGATAGGGCTATATTTAGAGACGGATTTTCCTATTATCTACTCCCTACCTTTAGGATAGTTACTAAATTCGGGCCTTAAAAAGTCGATTAGAGATTTTCCTAGTAAAGCTATAACGTTTATCACTAACGGCGCTAAAGCGATAGCACCTATTAGCTAACAATATCTAATTATAATCATAAGGGCCGTATTTAGAGTATTAATTATAGAGTAAGCCGTAATATTACGGAGATACTTTACATAGAAATAAGAATATAGGGGATAGGGTGGTTAAATAGACTAAGATATTAAGATTAGGATTATTAACAAACGAATAGTGTAGGTAGAACTAATACTAATCGTAAATAACCCGCTTAGCCTAATCGTATCTATATTATACCCCCCTCTTTTCGGAATATACTATCTCGAATAAGTCTAGCTAAAAGCTATAGGAATAGGGGTGAATTAAAGTAGAGGTAAAGGATAATCTCACTAGATAGGATAACGTACTTATTATTATTAGACTTACCTAATTAGCCTTCTAATTCCTATATTATTCCCCTTAAATCAATTCTAAATCATCGGAGAAATCACCTAAGTCGCGGCTATTAGATAAGCCCGAGCCGTTCGTTCTAACGAAGCTAATTTTTACGTCTTTAAACTAGCATAAGCCCTATAAACCACCAATTTCCGCGTTACCGCGTATCGAAAGTATAGCTCCTTAGTAAGAGTATTAAGTACGAATACAGTCTCGATATAGTAAACGTAGATTTTAAGTCGAATAACCTATATAACACGTACTAAGGACTATATCGGTAGGGTTATTTAGGGCTTTACTAGGACGCGCGTATTAATAATACTATACCGTTCTACCACCTAGGATTACACTAATATTATGGGTATACGTAGGAGAATATATACCGCTAACTAATCGCGGGTTTTAGCGAGTAGGCCTTATAAGATTATATACCGTCCGAATCCGTCTTTCCTTATCCGGAACAGAGGATTTCGAAAAAAGATTACCCCCTAGACATATACGATTTCTTACTAGCGCTTACCTATAGGACGCTAATCTATAGATAGCTAGCGATAGCGCTCTAAGGGGGCATTTTCTCGCTACGACTAGCTATTAAATACGGCGATCGGCGATCTAGGCCTAGCCCTCTAGTACGTCTCTTTAGGAAAGAAAACGTATATCTCTAGGGGGGAATATATTAACCAAAACTACTATAACTATAGAGTACACAATAGATAGATTACCACGGAGGCTCCGGCCACCTATTCTAAGGCCGTGCGATTAAGAGACTATTAAACACGACATAGGCGGGATCCTAGCTAAAAGCTTAACATCCGTAATTAGTTCCCGATCTATAGTTCACGATCCTCGGCCCTATCCGTAGTGGGTAAATCTTCGTTCTAACCTTTTACCTAGTCTAGGAAAGGGGAATTATGTCTCGGTAAACCTACCTCTGTTCATACTACTGGATTAGTCTCCGATCGTTTATAATTATAATAATTAAACTAGAAGTTCCCCGTATTACCCCGAAACTTCTTAAAATAGGGCTAAGAGTAAAGGTTCCATAACCTAGCTAATTAGAGGTAATCCTTTTAGCGCCGTTAGTAATAGGGCGGCGTTAAAGGTAGCCCTAGATAGGAGTAGACCTCGGCAGAGTCCGTCCACGGACACCCCTAAGGTGTCCATGACCCGTCTATGGACGCCCCTCTAGTGTCCAAAGTCCAACTGCGCTAAGTCTAGTCTAGCCCAGCCCGCACACGCTAAGTCCCAAACCTATCTAAACCCGCCTATTTATGCATAAAATCCTCACATAAATCTGATCACTCAGCAAAATAAAAGACTATTATTTACTATCGTTCTTGTTCGTCACACTACTAGATCCTGATATTATTATCTTCCTTAAGGAAATCTCATAAAATATCTATATATCTTTAATTGTCTACACCATTACCTTCTGATTAAACAATAAAATTAATATTATTATTGTAGGCTTATGTTTTCTAAAACGTAATATTAGTTAAGTAATATTGAGCTTAAAAAAATATATTTTACCTCTAGGACTACACCAGGATTTATCTAAGGAAGCATATCTAGTATAAGTATAAAAATATAGCTAATTTCCCCTTAAGCTTTATATAGATTCATAGATTATATCCTTAATTTAAATACAAAATTATCTAAAATATATTATCTCCTAATAAAATTAGGAGAAATCTAATTCATCTTAAATTAATATGGTTTAATAGCTATTAAGGTTGATGCCTTAGGCTTAATAAATAGGGTCCGAAGGATAAAAATTTTTGGACAAGGGAACTTACTAAAGTCCTAGGGTATTAGTCTTAAGTAAATTTTAAGGATTAATAGGCGGGTTTAGACAGTCTAAATCCGCCTATCTAGAAGTACGCATAGTGTAGCTAATCGGATCTTAGAGTTTTTCAGCTGAAATCGCCTATTTATGATATATCACCTAAAATCTATACTAATCCTTATCGCTATCCTACGCGTAAATAGACCCCCGGTCGCAATTTCCTAGTTTCTATTTATCTACTTACTTATAACTTATAAGTGGTTTCTATCCTCTTAATTCTACTTTATAAACTTAAGCTCTTCTCTTATCTACCCGGGAAAATATCACAATAAACTCAAGATTATTCCTCGTCTTTCTATAGAGATAATATTGACCTAATCCTAGAACTAGACATCTTAATCAGTTAACAAATAGCGCCTACTTTACGTTCTTTAGGTAGTGACTAGATATTAACTCGGCCATACTCTTATCCAGAGATTATTAAAGACTAGGTCCTCTATACAGAAATAAACAAAGACGAGTTTGTTAAGTGGTAGCTTATAATATCGATTAGAAGTGAGCTCTATAAGAAGAGTCACCAGTTTTTTAATACAAAGAAACGCTATTCAGATAGGTAGAGATCTTTCCATTAACTCGCACATACCCGGACTAGGGATCCACGTATTTTATGTAAGGAGTGTGGCTAGCTCCTTAACTATCCGAGTCGGAAAGGAAATAGGACAATACTAATAATAAGATATTTAAAAGGGGCTAAATACCAGAAACTAGCTAGTTATACTAGTAAGACTGATAATCTAAAAGAGCTTTTTAATCTACAAGTAAGTTCTACCGGAGATACTATCGGTTCTATTTAGTTACTAATATATAATATTATTAGGGACAACTCTACCCTCCGTCCTAGCGATCCTCGTCGATAGAATTCAATGAGAAGGCTTTTATGGAGGATATAACAGACTTTGTTGCTGGTCTTCGTCTTCTATATCTTATTATTAAAAACCCTCTTTTCCGGAAGCTTCTCCAGCGAGCCCAAGCATCACTAAGGCCTCTTCAATTCCCATCCGCTAGAACAGTTCATCGATAAATACACCAGACCGGATAAGAAAAACAACAAATAATCCTAAAATCACTACCAGAGGGAGCTAAGCTTTCAATCGCGCTTAATTACTAGATATCACCATTCTCTTAGGCTTTTATGGTAATCACTAGTTATTTTATCGATATTAATTAGAATTACAGAGAGTTCCTACTTAGATTCGAGCCCCTAGAAGGCACTTATTCTAGTGAGAATCTTAGCTCGGTTCTTCTTACCCGCCTTAAAGACTACGATATCACTTATCGGATTTTAGCAATTA